ATTTAGAAGAATTTTGAGGTCCTAATGCCCCACTGAGGGAAGTGAATAATAGTAGTAATTAGCCATGCTTGTTATGATAGTTCTTTAAATTCAAATGAAGTCAGGGTACTTTTTGATTTTTAGTTCTTTAATTATAGATATAATTTATTAGGCACTAATCAGTTTAAATGAATAGTCCATTATACGGAAAGCATCACAAAGTTTGTAAAATTTCCGAAACGTCAACGTAATCACCTAGAATATGATGTATGAACATTTATTTATATGAATACTGAGTATGTTTATAATATTTTCCTACTAAATTGCACCTTTCATAGACACGTTTCCTTTCTAATATCACTTTAAATATTAAGTTGTTTTTCTTAAACTATGTACAGCGTTACTCGTGAGCATAAAATTTTCATAATATTTAGAAAGGAAATTTTTTCCGAAAAACGATCTTTGAAATTTTTCTTTATCATAGTATTCTATAAGCGTTTACCATCTGGATGTTAAGTTAATAGTCGTACTCCTCTCCAATTATGCAAACATTTCTCATTTTTCAATTGGAACAGATATTCTTCTTTATATACAATGTAGATAGTTTACAAATTTATATATCAGCTGCTTAAATATTACAAGTACATCACCTATATCATCCTTTTTTTAAATAAGTAAATTCAGATTTTATTATTGAATTATTAGAATAGATAAACTTTTATTGAAAGTATTACTAATTATTGCATTATTTTGTTGTGATCAGTAAAATGTTAAATTTAGACTTATCCAAAATGAAGTCATCTATTTTTTCTATGCTAAAGTAATCAATAAAAAAGTATGTGTAAACTGCAAGGTTCAGATTGTCAAGTATTTCGTTGGGTTCTGCTGAACAGTATTTTACATATATTTTTTATTGACGATATTAATAAATGGTGTTCTGTTGAGGTTTATTAACCAGTATGTTAGAGATCCTATTAACTACTTTAAAAAGTTATTATTTGTAATATCTTTGTACAGATCTCAACGTTTTGGGACTTGGACTGATAACCAGACAACCAATGAATGAAGTTCGTTCGTTAGTTTCAAAAAGTTTCGAAGAATGCCAATCTGGACATTTGTTGGAGACATGTGAAAGAAACTATATGGCACATTTATTTTCTTAGTTGCGAGTTCAATTCCGATTGAAAATAAATAATAAATTGAGAAATATTTACTTTTTAAAGAAAGTATACTGTAATAAAAACTATTAGATTTTATGTGTTCAACAAATACAAAAGTTTATTAAAATTATTGAAAAAAGTTTCAGTTGCAAGAACGAAACATGCATTAAGAGTTTTAGATTTATAGTGTATTGTAGTCTTTTTTATTATAGTTGTTGAAAGAATTTTTTATAAAGAATACAAAAGTTTTCTAATCACTAATATCAAATCAATATATTGATTTCTTATTAAGTTAGTAACCAATCAGTTATTGGCACCAATATGCGTGTTTAAATGGCGTTTAAATGCGTGTCACAAAAATATTACGGTCCTAATACTGTTACCAAATATTTGGTTTTGCAAATTTAGTAGAATTTTGATTCGTCTACGAAAAAGATGTACTACAAAAAATTAACAAGAAGTGCCAGAATATGGCTAAGAGAACAACGTCAAGAAATACAAATAATAAGAGCCAGAGCTAAAGAAAAAAGTGAGTTCGCATTATAAATATTTATACTTTTGTGATCTACAAATAAAATATTTTAATAAAAATTATTCCTTTATATTTCAGTTTCCTTCAAATATATCATCGGTCCTACCACTGAGTCGAAAATTGCATTTGGTACAACTCTACACCGTGAAACATTGCTTAAAGACACAAAGAACTTATCTCCGTTTATGAGAAAACCTATAGATGAAAATAGGAATTATCCAGCACCGTGGGAATATTCACCTATTATTCCCAAACAAAATAAAGTAGTTTCAATTTAAAGTTATACTATAACGTAATTTAAAATCTATTTTTTTTACTGTAGTATATTTCAAAGAAAGGTCTCTCAGCATTCGCAAACACGGTCGCACAAATATCAATAAATGACAAATCTCTTATTCCCTCTGTTGGCGAGTATAATATTGAAATAATAAAACCAATCAGACAATCTGCAAAACCCTTCAGTGTAGGTGCAAAAAGATCAAAAAATGTTAAATTTTGCTCTCCAGGGTAATTATTAAGCATATCTTATCTAATCCATTGTAACTTTTTAATACCACAATAAATATCTTTATTTTTTAGACCTGGCACTTATACAGTTCAAAAAATGTTTCAGAAACAAATTCCATGTGAAAAATTTGGTAATGCTAGATATCACGAACCGGTAATAAAAACAATTTGCACACCGAAGAATAACTCAAAATGTAATAGATGTCTTCAGACTGGTATTGACGAATATTTTCACAATTTCTCCAATAACTTAGATTTGTGTTATTTTTGTTTGACAAAATCGCAAAAGAGATTAACTAAGTCCAAAAATTATTTTTTACATAGACGCATAAATCGTGAGCTTGGAAGTTATGTTCCTGTACGTTATTGCCAATTCTTCCACAATCATAATGGAACCACCGCTGCCATACAAACTATGAGCAAATCGCTATTTAGAAGGAAAATAAAAGTCGAAAACTATTTACAATCATTTGTTGAAAATACAAGCAATTAAATCAGATATTAACAATTGCTTTAAGTTTAAATTAAATAAATTTCAACATTTTTGAAACCTATACTAAAAATAAATAAATAATTAAAAGTCGAATTTAACTTCTTAGAAAATATTTACTTTGAGGAACTGACAGAATTAATGCATAATTGATTTTATAAAACATATCAGAATTAATATCAAGACCCGAAGGTTCACACGTAATGGTTAAAGAAGTTGAGCTTATTCCTTCCCCGTATTTAACTTCTTAGAAAATATTTACTTTGAGGAACTGACAGAATTAATGCGCAATTGATTTTATAAAACATATTAGATTTAGTATTAAGACCCGAAAGTTCACAAATAGTGGTTAAAGTAGTTGAACTTATTCCTTCTCCAATGGTATGCGAATTAGCTAGTAGCTACAGACGTTCGTAAGTCTCAATGTAAACTGTCTCAATATAGAACTATTATTTTAATGATATGGATAAAAACTTAATTTAAAATAATACTGTTGTTGTTTTTTAAGTTCTTAATGGACAATATTTTCTTCAGATTATGTTATACATTACTGATAATAATTGTCAACTTAAAGATAAAGACACGGTACGATTCCAGTATAAATTAGAACGACGATATTCACGTATTTTGTTTAACTAATCACTTGAAAATTCTTAACAGCTTGAAAATCGTAGGAATTCACAATATTCATTGAAGAACTTGTTAGAGAGGTACTCATACGTATATATCCATGTATGTAATATAGTTTATACTAACAAAAATTGTTAGCACCTTGGACACTTCATATACTTAAAGTGAAAAGACGTAATTTGTCAAAATATTTATAAAGGAGTGAAGAAAACATCGGACACCTCACTAAAATCTATGTAGTAGTGTTTCTGTCTAGTCAGTCTGTCTAGTTCTTGTTTTAATTCTAACAATTTGAATGTGAAACTTCATTCAGCATCTAATTGGCATATTATCGAAATTAAGACAGGTTATTTCGATGAGAGCCCATGCATCGATAATATTCAAGAAAATCGGTATATTATATTTGCAGTAAAAACATTATAAAAGAACTAAAAATAGATTAACCAAAAATTTAAACTTTTGAAGCTGGGTACTTTATGCACTTAGAGAAAAAACATGTTATGGAACGAATTTTTATAATCATTATTGAAACAGAATTAAATCCAGTGTTTTTTAAAACCTACGTATGAAGATGGTTTTGGTCAAAAAACGATGAACCTTTGCAAATACTGAGAAAGACTACAATAAAGATATTCTAAAAAATTTGGTAGATATTATTAATTATGGGCTATTATCGCTTAAACAATTGTTAAGAATCCCTATGAGCAAGTCTGATCAAACCATTCTTGGTTTGAATAACTTGATTATTATTTATAATTAATGCGGGGGGAATGCAAGAGTATCGTCTTGCTGTTTTATCTTTAGTTATCACAAGCAAAGTTAAAATACTTAAAAACACTACAATTTGAAAATTTGAAGAATCTCTCAGGATAAGAACTTTAAATCTTAAAAAAATTTTTCATATCTTACATAACACCAACTACAAATATAGAAAAAAGTTGGTTTTGCTAGACACTAATAGCTTTATATGTGGCTATGGGCAGACAAATTAACCTAACCTTTCCCAAATCCACTATATCATATAATATTTTTGATGCATTTTCGATCCGGATTTAAAAATAGACTTTAGTAGAATCACTTATTTTAAGAAACTTTTTAATGCTGATATAGCTTACGTCTTAAGACGTCAAGATTTAAAGTTGTTATATTTTAACATCTAGGCTTGATAATGTAACTAAATGTATATAGAGTATATGATTAAAGTGAAACCCTGAAGATATAATAAAACAATATTCAATGTATAACTCATTGGTATTTCTTTTGAAAACTAATTTATTTTATTTATTTATCTATTAATTTATTTATTAATTAATTTATTTATTTATATCATACATATTGATATCATAAATATATAATAGTTATATATGTTTATTTGCTAATTTTGAAATGAATGAATGAATGAATGATTCTCTTATTTAATTGTATTTTCTGAATTGATTAGAAATATAATTATATATTAATAAAATGTAATGAACTCGTGTTCACAATATGACATAACAACCATAAAATGTCCAAAATTGACTTCCTCTTTTTCTTCTCTATTTTTATTTGTCCACACTAAGGAATAGTCCATTCTCAATAACGCATTTTATATTGCCAAGTATACGTTTTTGTTCGTTAAATTTTTATTATATGAAGTATTATTAAAGTTATTATTAACAATATATACTTTTCTATTTAAATTCAATTCCATGATTATAATTTAGTTTTGCAAACGCTCTATTGAAAATATAGTGAGACTTAGAAGAATTCCAACACACCAGATCATCCAGGCTATATTAAAATAATTCAATTCTAATGGATTTACAGGATATGAGTCCAAAAGTACTGCTGCATATTTTTTACGTAAAGCTATCAAAATAGCGTGTCTATGCCATTTCATCCATAAACCCGATTGATTTATAAGCATTATAAATAAATCGAAAGACTCAAGGAATCTTGCATTTTGTTGAACTGGAAATGCCTTAAATGCCGTGTCCAAACAGATATCAGAGTAATAAAAGTAAGGCTTTTTTAATGCATTCTGTTGCATTTGCACATAACTCCATCTATCTCCACCGACTAAATAACCAAATGATCTATTCAAACTATTGATCTTCGCATAAAACTCTGGCCGATATACAACCAAAAGTATCGACTTTAATTTCTCATACATTTCGTTACCTTGTATGTCTTCTAAAGTGTCTGGTGGTAACAAAATTTTTATATTCCCATGTAATAGATCATCGATGTTATCAATGCGTTTCTGGAAAACTGGTTTCAAATTGTACGTATGTAGATATGCATCATAAAAATTATGTAAAACAAAACCAAACAATATGAGCAATAGATACAATATTGTAGCTCTCATAGACTCATACTTGGATGGTAGGCGCATATTAGGTGAATGCAATAAAACAGCAATGCTATCTGGCAATTTATTAGCTATGGATAGTGTGTACCTTTTCAATGGATTGGAACTCATGTATCGGAACAATACTGAGAATGCCAAAATACTTAAGCACCATACAATCCAGATATAACAATCGAATGGCCAAACTATATAGTAATACTTCGGTATTTCATCCTCTAATGGTATCATTACGCATTTCTTAACAAATTCCTGCGGATAACTGAACTGCATACCTTTAACTTGTTCCGTATACACACTACCTGGTAGAGACGCATTGTAGAAACCATTTGTAATAAGCGGATATATTCTTGAAGTGTTATAAATATCATTGTAGTCCAATTGTATATCGTAATTCCGGTAATAAGCAAAATTCAGAATTGTTTGTATGTAAGCACCACAAAAGTATGTTTTGTTCCCATAATCCACATAGGTAAAAACACGAGGAATATCTTCTGCAAAGGCAACACGAAGAACTTCTCCATTTTCCGAAAGCACCATTTTACACCTGATGAGTTACTTTACGCTACGTTACGAATTGAATAAAATAAAGTGGTAATGACGAGTATTTATATACATAAATGAAATGCTTAAAAAAATAAATAAAATATAAACTTAATAAATCAATACAATTTCAAAAAAACAAATTTGATTAATTGCCCATGAGACCACAGGAATTCCAGCCATTGTTTTTTTTTTCAGCAATTTTCGAAAGTCACGTTTTTTTATTCATTCTAACAATTTGGAATCCATTCTAACAATATGGAAATATTAAAGACTATTATTTTCAGTATCTCGAGGGATTCCATTTATGTTATTGAAAGCAAATTTGTACCGAATCTACTTTTTAATGAACTTGTTGATGCATTGAAAATACTAATTTAAATGTTCATTGCAAAAAAGAATTAAAATAATCGTGTTAGCATTTTACTATTTGAATCCTCAAAGGATTCACTTCAATAAGATTTGTTGATGTGAATAATAGGACTTAGAGTGTGCTACACTAACAAGTCATGGCGTCAAATAGGCACCAATATACATTTAAATACACTAAAATTATTAAATAAGCGACCTGTTCATATATCGGAAATAGTATATAGTATATCAAATTCTGAAGATTTGTCAATCAGTATAATTACCTTTAAAGAATAATTACTACTGTTAGAATATAAACTTCGTCTGTTGATTGATTTATCCTTTAATTGATTACATACTGTGAGTGACTATTGTACAGTCTATACATCTGAAATTTAATTATTCTACAAATACAGAAAGACATTGAATTGAAGAACAAGAAAATCTAACATTATCTTTCATTTTACTTGAGGGTATAATATAAAATAAACACATAACTTTCCTAAGCGTCTTAGGACCCACGTCGCTGCTCAAAACTATAAGTTCAAAGTTGTGAAAGACTTATAAAATCCTCTCTCGTTAAATAGAAATCGTGCTTTACAAGGCTCTTTTCATGTCTGTCCTGTTGTATGGTGTAGAATATTGGACAACAATCAAGCTATATCGACTCGTTAAACGTATAACAATTCAGATTTCGCTGGCTTGTTCATGTCGTGCGAATGAAAGAAAGTGCTCCGGCTAGAAAGGTTGTTGATTCGGTACACGCTGGTGAAAAACGTGGTACAGGTCATTTGCAATATAGATGGAAGGACCAGGAGACCAACGATTTGAACGCACTCGATACTATTCACTGGCGACAGCAATCCACTATTGGACTGGCTGACGGAGGGCACTGAAAGTAAGTATAATAATTGCCCGACTGCTCAGAATATCCTATTCTGTAAATATTTATTAGTATTGTAATTATATTGTAGATATTGATAGAGTTGTATTTCGTTTTTAATGAGCGATTAATTTAAATATCGGATTCTAAGCCTTGCGCATAACCTATTGTACCCATGATGGACGTTTTGATGGACATATAAATCCACTACACACAGATAATCATAACTATTCAATGGTGGCTACATAGTCGCTGTAAGGGATATGACAAGGCTGAGACTGACAACTATTACTTGCCCTCAACTAATCTGGCAGTTCACATTCGCATCTTCAATCGAAAAATTAGATAATAACTGGCAACACTGTTCAGGCAAGCAGACATAGGACAACCAACGACGGCGCAAGTCTATAAAGCCGACTAAGAAAAAAGAGATTTAAAAATACTCTCTGTTGTTATAGTTGTACATATATTTATATATCTTTAAGTTTGTTTTGACTCAGTAAGTTCTTATTTTGAATTCAGAATTGAATCTAGAAAGAATGAAGTAACACATTTAATTAAGTATATATAAATATACCTTAATAATATTCAATAAAAAAATGTAAGGACAGCATCCATATTATAACTATATTGTCATTTAATGGCTTAGATATATTAATAAATTATTATTCTTACTAAAAAAAGATAACATATGAGATCAATTACGTTATTTCTGGTGAAAAATTCTTAAGCAAACAAAAAAAAATTCCTATTGATAAATTTTATAATATATATTAATTCAAGATGCCAAATAAGGGTACTAGACCTCTTTATTGATAAACGCTGGAAGCAAATAATGTCAGCGCTTTTCAATCATATCTTTGGGAAATGGTAGCTCTAACAAGAACAATTTTAGCTAAAAACACAATGAGTAATCTATTTATATTGAAAAACCTATCAAGTTACAATTGTTAACCCAAATGAGCTATTTAGATTGTCTTAGACTCTATACATTATATTCATTATACATTATATGTTTTTACTAATGCAAGATGACTAGTACAATTATCTACTATACTAAAACCCAGCGAAATATTTAAACTCAATTTAATTATATTAAATGGTATAACACGAAAATATCCTTTGTTAAATAATTAAATTAATAAATTTTTTTTGTAGCTGATAAACTTAAATTAAAAAAATAATAGTTTCCAATTATTTATAATATAAAAAAAACACCTCCCGTGACAATGTTTTTAACATTGCCGTGACCAGGATTCGAACCTGGGTTACTACGGCCACAACGTAGGGTCCTAACCACTAGACGATCACGGCTACCGAGGCATGCAAGATGTGAATGGTAATGTTATTTATAATCTCAATTTATTTTTTAATAGCGTTGCCACATCATTCAATTAAAAGAAAGTCTAATTAAATCTTAGAGAAATATCCAATATTGAATGTCATGTTAATAAAATAGTTTCATAACAAAAAGTTTATTTGTATTTTCGTTAAATAATGTTTTTTACTACTTCAGCATTCTGAATACTTATTTTAAAAATCAATACTTAATACTTATTTTAAAAATCAATTTTAGAACCATTTATATATAAAAATCAAAAATGATTCCAAGATTACTGTCAGTTTTACATTATACATAGAAGCAACATTCCATATTAAAATGTAAAATAAACTATTTAAAGTAAACTTAAATAAGTTTTATGCAAGGCGTGTTTATGCAAGAAAATAAGACATTGGTTTTTCTATTAAAATGTTGCGTCACTACGCAAGATATCATGATAAATTACATAAAATTCTTAAAAAGACAGTGGTTTTTATTATAAATTTACAGTAATAAATATTTAACACGTTCAGTATTGTATTCAAATATTTTTAAAAAAAAACGTTTGAAAGTCACAGACATATAATATTTGGAAATTGCATGGGATAAATCGCAACGCTATGGTATAAATCGTAACGGTGTAAGTAAAATTGCAAAAACAACTATAACTATATATACAAAAATATTTGCTCATTATACAAATGATTGGTGGCGATTATGAAATGTCTACTGATAGACAATAGACATTTGTCTACTGAGTCGATTGGTAGGCATATTTCGTATGATGAAACTTGACAGACTAACATATGCACTGTTGTGAGTGATATAAGGGTTTTAGAGCACGTCGCTTCAATTAAGCTTACTTTGTTGAACCTGTTTGCTAAGAAACATTAGAATTAATTTCAAATTGTTGATATAAAATAATAAAATATATATATATATATATATATATTTATTTTATTAATATGAAATCACAATTTAATATTATATTATATTAATAAACTAAGCTAACATATTAAACTATATATATAATAATAATAATGTTATAATTATTAGTAATATTTAATTTATATATATTATAGGACCTTTTCGGTGGCTCGCAAGTATGGCAGGCTAGCCTATATTGGCTACGTGAGACATTGGCTTCACTGTTGCAATCTGTCAAGTGTTATGTTTTGACAAATAGCAAAAATAGCATAATGCAAGCAAATTACATTTTGTATAAAAATAACATTTTTTTTTACTGGCCGTGATAGAGAAAATAGTGTTGTTGTTTTGCTTACATTTCGGCCAGAATAGGCCAGTTATTTGGTGATTTTTGCCATACTTGCGAGCCACCGAAAAGGCCTTTACTTAGATTTAATATTTATTTTCAATTTTTTTAAAATACTTAAAGCTTAGTGGACCGATATTTATTTAGCGATTTATCACGATGCTTTTGGTTTTAGTTGCTTTCTTTTATCAAAACGTATTCAATACTTTCTAGACGCCTAGACACATCTTTATAAAAAAAACTTGAGCATTCGTCTGCGCCTTTAGCAAATCTAGTCTTGCCTGGTTAGTTGCTGCCTTTTTTATTGTGTAATTTTATATAAATACTTACATTATTCCCCCACGAATGTACTTGAAATGCTTGTATACACTGTTTAGTTAATTACAGGAAGATTTTTTTTTGTCAAAATATTCGAATAAATATACATAAGAAAATAATACATAAGAAAAAATATAATATCTTACACTAAAAAGTCGATATATTAAGTGGTAGGCAAAAAAAAATATCATTGAATTATTACTAATTATTAAATAAACAAAAATAATATTAAATTTATATGTTAAATTGACTGCATAAAGCGTTTCAACAGCATTTTTCATCTAATCAACAAACTTCTACTGCTCAAATGCAATAGAGAAATTTATCTACGCTAATAGAATAACTTCTATCGGCTTGCAATTCATAATACCAAAATTCATTTTTGTCTATCAGCGATAGACAACACATAATAGGAACTTATAATTCATTTTGAGAAAAATCAACACCGTCGTTTATATAATATTTGGTTTCCATTAAAAAAGTATTGTATCGAAACATTTTAATCTGGCAACCATACAGGCACATGATGATATCACAAAGAAAAGTAATTCCAATTAGACATCACCTTTGCTTTAACTAATGTAGTTAATAAAAAAATGCTATTATTTATTATTATATTTATTAACAGTGAAGGACTTGAGATTATAAAATTTATCCGGTAATTTCAGCACTTCTGGTCAAGAAGTTTCAACAACCTACAATAACAATAGTTTCAATCAAAAACTAGTGCGAGCATTATAATATGTTTATTCTAGGAAAGTCATTGTACAGTATATTAGCCGAATATTCAGACAGGTATAGATATTCATAAACAGCACTTGTACGAACATTAAAGTATTCATAGCAATTTTTTTTCTGTATTTGAATTAGATATTTGCAAAAAACGTTCGATAGTTCTTTTTCCATTACTTGACCAAGGAAACATGAAATCATATTAAAAATTTGGTGCTCATTTACGAAGTTTTTTAAAAATATACAGATGCGTTGTACTTTATATTAAAAGTTTTATTTTCTAAAAATTTTTTTAGAAAAAAAATATATCAGAGATTAAATATAATATTAAACACTATAATACTTCAATTCAAACATTTCATCGAAGTATACCGCGTGATATTTTCAGAACATTGGCACGTCTTTTGAATATTCATACATCCACCAACGACTGACATCATGCAATCAAAAAGGATACAGTATCTTATCAATTGAAAGAAACGAAAGTTAAGTTAACTACACTGCACTAGGTCATTTTATGTATTTCCTGCAAATTTCAATAAATAAGTATTATATTTCTTATTTCAGATTATAATCCCACCTATACCGCATTTATATAATCCCACCCACCTATACTCCAAACCGCTTTACGCATTTAGTGTTATATATATTGTGGTTAATAATCGTTTTTCTCTCACGAATACTTAGGCTATTTCATAAAAAATCTCAATTGTAAATAGATAGCAACACAACAATTATTGTAAAATTATATATATTTTATTTAAAAACAAAATTAAATTTTCAAAAATTACGTTAATAATTACAGATTTAATAAAAAAACAATAAATTATGTGTATTACAACAATGATATTTAAATGAGCGTTCCAATGTATTACGATATTTATAATATATTCGAATATTATATCATCCACCTGTTATATCAGCTAAATACATGTCCATTACTCGTGGGTCTCGATGTTGGACTTCTCTTCTTCTAGGTATTGGTTGGTAGTCAGGTCTTCGCGTTCCATTAACCGCATTTAAACTTAAGTTGTCATTAGCTTCTTCCTCTATGGGACGCATTTGCTTTTTAAGAATTCGTGCAGCTGCTGCAGCACTAGTCATTGGTCTGTCGTCAGATGACGCCGATACATTACTTATACCTAAGACTTCAGTATTTATTTCTGTACTTTGTTTTGATGCATTCGTCGCCTCTGAGTCCTCCGTTACAGATGAAACACCATATTCACTTTTTTTTTTCATTTCTATAGCATTGTTCAATTTAATGCGAAAAGCCTGTTTTACAGTTTTGTAGCATATCTCGCATATTAGGCAGGCTTGACGAAATTCTTTGAATCTTTTTTTTATAAATGTAATGTATTGTTCATTCGTAACTTTAAAACCTTTTCCCGAATAATTTTTTTTACACAAATAGCACTGCTTAGGTCTGAATTCCATCTTTTTCAAACAAAAACAAAATTATATGCCGGCAATAAATTGAATGGAGATGCTGCCACCTCACTAAATTATCTCTAATTCAGAAACATTTTTGGCGGCATCAACTTAATCGGCGATGATACCACCTTTCTTAAATGATTTTAAATTCGAAAATATCTTTGCCGGTAACAATTTATGGTATGTTTATATTTCAGTTTTTCTATGTAATTAAGCTATTTATACTCTACATATGCTTTACACTCTTTTACTTTGGCAAGATTTTTGCATAGACTCACTGTTTCACTGATGTATAAAAGTTTTTGTTTATGAAGGAAACTCAGAAATAATACGTATTTGCATTCGAACATAGAAATTTTGCCAAAGACCATCCAGTGGAGACACCAAGTTCTATGTTTTTTTTATTTATATTTATTATATAAATAGACTTTAACAATATATTATGATTAACTCTTTTATCTTTACATATATTTTGTATAGCAAATGTATTCAACCCTAACTACTTATTTTTCTAATTTATGATAATTATGGTTACACATTGTATTATTATAAATTATGAATTTAATTTTATTTATTATGTGTGCTATTTACAATTTAACCGTATGAATTGATTGTTTGCTGATTTTCGTAAGGAATTATCGAATTATCTTATCGAACTACCAAAATTAGTATCAGAATTATGATTACTTGTACTGTGTAAACAAGATATTAAAATTCGTCACAAAGTATCTTAGATTAAACATCGGAAACATATTAGGAGTATTCAAGATCTCTGTGCATTGTTGCATATGCATTATTGCAAACTTAAAGAATCGTAAAAGCATTTTTTGCATATTAGTCTTGCAAATGATTAGAACAGCTGATTTTTGTTTTTGTATTTATTTACTTATAATAATTCACAGTGTCTTGAAAATCACATATGCAAGGACTAATTGGTATTGAAAATATGGTCTAATGGTTCAAGGCATAAGGTAATAACCTTGGAAATCAATTGCAGAATCATAAGAGATGGAATTGGTTTTATAAAATCAAAAAATTTTATACATGCAACGATGCACAGAGTTCTTGAATACCCCTATTAAGACAACATCTTTTGTTAGCATGTTGAAAAAAATAACATACAATCGCTATTACTGTAGTTGGCAGCAATCGAAATGTCATTAGATGTTTTGTTTTTATTCAACACAAAGTCACATAATGCATAATTTTCATGTGTTGAATTTGTTTTTATATTATCTCAAATATTAAAAGTTAACTTCAACCAAAATCTTTAAACAATATTTAGGCCGTGTACGAGTTCGAGTAAATTAATGGTAAATTGAGGGAAATAGTAAAGCTAATAATCGGTATAGCAGCTAATGTTGGTATTTAACAGAATTTCGAGTAGGTTAAATTAGATAAAAATTGGGTAAATTAGGTGTTACCATTGTGAAAATTTTATAAGATATTTAATAAATAAAAAAATAAATTTGAAAACTTTTAACCAAAAATAATAAATAAATAAATAAATATTTACATAAGTGTAGTGCAAAAAATCTCTAGAAAATTTCAATTTACTTTATATCAATTTACTCAATTATTTTAAAGTTCGAAAAAATCGAATACCAATTAAAAAATCGAATACCAATTTTTTGATAGCTGATTAGAAATCATTCACAATAGATTACTTTTAATTTTGGCAACACTACCTTGTGAGTTGCTTATCTGATAAGTGATTTCAATGAGTTGGGCTAAATAAGTTAGCTGTGTCGTCGTTTTCTATTTATTTTCAAAATAAGCGTTATGATTACACCATCAACTGCAAACATGCATACAAACGAATTATTTTACTCAAACATAGCATATTTCAAATATTATATTTACATTTAGAATTATCAAATTCTTTTCAACATATTTTTATATAGATTTTATATAAAAATATAGTAAAATATTTGTCGAGTAAAATGAATTAGTCTGAACATAGCAGAACAAAATTGTCAAAAATTTGGACCGTCTCTTTTAATACTGTTGTTTTTATTTTTAGTTGGTGGCAGTTTCACAATTAACAGTATCATAACAAAACGCGGTTTAAATCATAATAGTTTAATAAGTGTTCTTATAATATTAGAAACATATTATGGTTGTTATAGAATGCTGATTAACAAAACTAATTTTGTAGTATTAAATTTTAAAAAATTGAGTATATTGAATTAATAAATTTTTTTTTATTTTATTAATATAATTTGAGAAGTAAATTTTGAGTTTTTATAGTAGAAATAAATACAAATTTTAAAAATATATGTATAATATTTTAAAATTATTAATGCATATAATAGGATAGTATATAATTGACATTTGCAAATGACGAAACAAGCTTCGTGTAGCCGTGATCGTCTAGTGGTTAGGACCCTACGTTGTGGCCGTAGTAACCCAGGTTCGAATCCTGGTCACGGCAATGTTAAAAGCATTGTCACGGGCGAAGCAGTTTTTTTTTGTTTTTTAATAATTCTAATTATTTAATTATTTTTATTTAGTTTAAAAATTTTTGTTTTATTAACAACAAAAATGCATACCTTAAAATTAAGGTACCGTGAATTGCATCAACTCTAAAGGCCAAACTAAAAGACAATCCATTCAAGGTAGTTTTAAATAGATTTCTTGCTGTTAGCAGAGAGAATATAGAAACTCCATATCATAACATTTTACCAAAACGAGACCAGTATGTGGTGATTTGTAAAATAAGTATTGAATCATTGTTTTGTAAAATGAGACCAGTGTGTGGCTATTATATAAAATGAGTATTAAAATATATCTTTAAATTTGCAAAACTAAAAAGAAGCGGTTTATTTTGTACCACATACAATATAGGAAATGAAACCAAACAAACTAGGTGCTTATATTCAATATCCCCGTTTGATAATAATATAACAATTTATTTATACATTTTTCTAAATATTTTTCCATTCTATAGTTTCCAAAAAAATTTGGATTTATATGATTGACCAAATCTGTAAGAACCAAATCTTAATACAAAAATGGCTCACTAACTATTAGATCATATTTTTTTTATCATATTTCATATAAGAGTTTTAAACTCTTATTACATCGATTATTTGTTGACATATAAAAGTTAATGATGAGAAAAAAGAAAAATAACGCTTTCAGTTTTGATACACTAGATATTATATATTTGTTGTTTTTTTTTATATAACAAGAAAAAGTTCGTTCAAAAATAAAAAAAAACATGTAAATAAATTTGAATTAAATTTTCGGAATGAAAAATAAAAGCAAAATAATTTGTTTTTATTTCTAAGGAAAAATTAACTAATTTTAACAAGTATATACATTTCTTTAAGAATAATTTAATAAAATTTAGTTTCAAAATAATTACTAAATATACAAATAAATTAAAAAAATGAAATACATATTTATAAAAGATAACACATTGATATTTTAAAAGAACACCACAATATTTGCACATAATTAATAAATAAAATTAGCGTGGAAATGATTCAGTACAACTGAACTTATTATTTTTATGGTTGCCCATATAGCATTTCTGAACCTGGCGGTATAGCACTTGGATCAATGGTAGAACTAAAGTAATTTGCTGGTGTCTCAAAAATAGAATCTTCAGCTTTATGCATTTGTTTATATTGTTGTTGTTGTTGCTGATGCTGCTGAAGTTCAGTCGTAAATTGTTGTTTTTCGTGTTGATGTTGTTGTAGAGTTAAATTATATGGATTTTGTACATATTCCTGATAGATGTCGGCACCCGATTGTGTCAGTTGTGATTGCACATAAACAGGTGTAAAACTGTGTACAATGGCTGAAGTCGGTATTTTAGATAATGAGGGATATTGATTACCAACTAAGAGATGACTAATTGGCACAGTTGTATTTTCATACTGTACTTAGGCTGTTTCATAAAAAATCTCAATTGTAAATAGATAGCAACACAACAATTATTGTAAAATTATATATATTTTATTTAAAAACAAAATTATTTTCAAAAATTACGTTAATAATTACAGATTCAATAAAAAAACAATAAATTATGTGTATTATAACAATGATATTTAAATGAGCGTTCCAATGTATTACGATATTTATAATATATTCGAATATTATATCATCCACCTGTTATATCAGCTAAATACATGTCCATTACTCGTGGGTCTCGATGTTGGACTTCTCTTCTTCTAGGTATTGGTTGGTAGTCAGGTCTTCGCGTTCCATTAACCGCATTTAAACTTAAGTTGTCATTAGTTTCTTCCTCTATGGGACGCATTTGCTTTTTAAGAATTCGTGCAGCTGCTGCAGCACTAGTCATTGGTCTGTCGTCAGATGACGCCGATACATTACTTATACCTAAGACTTCAGTATTTATTTCTGTACTTTGTTTTGATGCATTCGTCGCCTCTGAGTCCTCCGTTACAGATGAAACACCATATTCACTTTTTTTTTTCATTTCTATAGCATTGTTCAATTTAATGCGAAAAGCCTGTTTTACAGTTTTGTAGCATATCTCGCATATTTGGCAGGCTTGGCGAAATTCTTTGAATCTTTTTTTTATAAATGTAATGTAGCGTTCATTCGTAACTTTAATCCCTTTTCCCGAATAATTTTTTTTACACAAATAGCACTGCTTAGGTCTGAATTCCATCTTTTTCAAATAAAAACAAAATTATATGCCGGCAATAAATTGAATGGAGATGCTGCCACCTCACTAAATTATCTCTAATTCAGAAACATTTTTGGCGGCATCAACTTAATCGGCGATGATACCACCTTTCTTAAATGATTTTAAATTCGAAAATATCTTTGCCGGTAACAATTTATGGTATGTTTATATTTCAGTTTTTCTATGTAATTAAGCTATTTATACTCTACATATGCTTTACACTCTTTTACTTTGGCAAGATTTTTGCATAGACTCACTGTTTCACTGATATATAAAAGTTTTTGTTTATGAAGGAAACTCAGAAATAATACGTATTTGCATTCGAACATAGAAATTTTGCCAAAGTCCATCCAGTGGAGACACCAAGTTCTATATTTTTTTTTTATTTATATTTATTATTCAAATAGACTTTAACAATATATTATGATTAACTCTTTTATCTTTACATATATTTTGTATAGCAAATGTATTCAACCCTAAATATTTATTTTTCTAATTTATGATAATTATCCACAATATGGTTACACATTATATTATTATAAATTATGAATTTAATTTTATTTATTATGTGTGCTATTTACAATTTAACCGTATGAATTGATTGTTTGCTGATTTTCGTAAGGAATTATCGAATTATCTTGTCGAACTACCAAAATTAGTATCAGAATTATGATTACTTGTACTGTGTAAACAAGATATTAAAATTCGTCACAAAGTATCTTAGATTAAACATCGGAAACATATTAGGAGTATTCAAGATCTCTGTGCATTGTTGCATATGCATTATTGCAAACTTAAAGAATCGTAAAAGCATTTTTTGCATATTAGTCTTGCAAATGATTAGAACAGCTGATTTTTGTTTTTGTATTTATTTACTTATAATAATTCACAGTGTCTTGAAAATCACCAAATCTGTAAGAACCAAATCTTAATACAAAAATGGCTCACTAACTATTAGATCATATTTTTTTTATCATATTTCATATAAGAGTTTTAAACTCTTATTACATCGATTATTTGTTGACATATAAAAGTTAATGATGAGAAAAAAGAAAAATAACGCTTTCAGTTTTGATACACTAGATATTATATATTTGTTGTTTTTTTTTATATAACAAGAAAAAGTTCGTTCAAAAATAAAAAAAAACATGTAAATAAATTTGAATTAAATTTTCGGAATGAAAAATAAAAGCAAAATAATTTGTTTTTATTTCTAAGGAAAAATTAACTAATTTTAACAAGTATATACATTTCTTTAAGAATAATTTAATAAAATTTAGTTTCAAAATAATTACTAAATATACAAATAAATTAAAAAAATGAAATACATATTTATAAAAGATAACACATTGATATTTTAAAAGAACACCACAATATTTGCACATAATTAATAAATAAAATTAGCGTGGAAATGATTCAGTACAACTGAACTTATTATTTTTATGGTTGCCCATATAGCATTTCTGAACCTGGCGGTATAGCACTTGGATCAATGGTAGAACTAAAGTAATTTGCTGGTGTCTCAAAAATAGAATCTTCAGCTTTATGCATTTGTTTATATTGTTGTTGTTGTTGCTGATGCTGCTGAAGTTCAGTCGTAAATTGTTGTTTTTCGTGTTGATGTTGTTGTAGAGTTAAATTATATGGATTTTGTACATATTCCTGATAGATGTCGGCACCCGATTGTGTCAGTTGTGATTGCACATAAACAGGTGTAAAACTGTGTACAATGGCTGAAGTCGGTATTTTAGATAATGAGGGATATTGATTACCAACTAAGAGATGACTAATTGGCACAGTTGTATTTTCATACTGTACTTAGGCTGTTTCATAAAAAATCTCAATTGTAAATAGATAGCAACACAACAATTATTGTAAAATTATATATATTTTATTTAAAAACAAAATTATTTTCAAAAATTACGTTAATAATTACAGATTCAATAAAAAAACAATAAATTATGTGTATTATAACAATGATATTTAAATGAGCGTTCCAATGTATTACGATATTTATAATATATTCGAATATTATATCATCCACCTGTTATATCAGCTAAATACATGTCCATTACTCGTGGGTCTCGATGTTGGACTTCTCTTCTTCTAGGTATTGGTTGGTAGTCAGGTCTTCGCGTTCCATTAACCGCATTTAAACTTAAGTTGTCATTAGTTTCTTCCTCTATGGGACGCATTTGCTTTTTAAGAATTCGTGCAGCTGCTGCAGCACTAGTCATTGGTCTGTCGTCAGATGACGCCGATACATTACTTATACCTAAGACTTCAGTATTTATTTCTGTACTTTGTTTTGATGCATTCGTCGCCTCTGAGTCCTCCGTTACAGATGAAACACCATATTCACTTTTTTTTTCATTTCTATAGCATTGTTCAATTTAATGCGAAAAGCCTGTTTTACAGTTTTGTAGCATATCTCGCATATTTGGCAGGCTTGGCGAAATTCTTTGAATCTTTTTTTTATAAATGTAATGTAGCGTTCATTCGTAACTTTAATCCCTTTTCCCGAAAAATTTTTTTTACACAAATAGCACTGCTTAGGTCTGAATTCCATCTTTTTTAAATAAAAACAAAATTATATGCCGGCAATAAATTGAATGGAGATGCTGCCACCTCACTAAATTATCTCTAATTCAGAAACATTTTTGGCGGCATCAACTTAATCGGCGATGATACCACCTTTCTTAAATGATTTTAAATTCGAAAATATCTTTGCCGGTAACAATTTATGGTATGTTTATATTTCAGTTTTTCTATGTAATTAAGCTATTTATACTCTACATATGCTTTACACTCTTTTACTTTGGCAAGATTTTTGCATAGACTCACTGTTTCACTGATATATAAAAGTTTTTGTTTATGAAGGAAACTCAGAAATAATACGTATTTGCATTCGAACATAGAAATTTTGCCAAAGTCCATCCAGTGGAGACACCAAGTTCTATATTTTTTTTTTATTTATATTTATTATTCAAATAGACTTTAACAATATATTATGATTAACTCTTTTATCTTTACATATATTTTGTATAGCAAATGTATTCAACCCTAAATATTTATTTTTCTAATTTATGATAATTATCCACAATATGGTTACACATTATATTATTATAAATTATGAATTTAATTTTATTTATTATGTGTGCTATTTACAATTTAACCGTATGAATTGATTGTTTGCTGATTTTCGTAAGGAATTATCGAATTATCTTGTCGAACTACCAAAATTAGTATCAGAATTATGATTACTTGTACTGTGTAAACAAGATATTAAAATTCGTCACAAAGTATCTTAGATTAAACATCGGAAACATATTAGGAGTATTCAAGATCTCTGTGCATTGTTGCATATGCATTATTGCAAACTTAAAGAATCGTAAAAGCATTTTTTGCATATTAGTCTTGCAAATGATTAGAACAGCTGATTTTTGTTTTTGTATTTATTTACTTATAATAATTCACAGTGTCTTGAAAATCACCAAATCTGTAAGAACCAAATCTTAATACAAAAATGGCTCACTAACTATTAGATCATATTTTTTTTATCATATTTCATATAAGAGTTTTAAACTCTTATTACATCGATTATTTGTTGACATATAAAAGTTAATGATGAGAAAAAAGAAAAATAACGCTTTCAGTTTTGATACACTAGATATTATATATTTGTTGTTTTTTTTTATATAACAAGAAAAAGTTCGTTCAAAAATAAAAAAAAACATGTAAATAAATTTGAATTAAATTTTCGGAATGAAAAATAAAAGCAAAATAATTTGTTTTTATTTCTAAGGAAAAATTAACTAATTTTAACAAGTATATACATTTCTTTAAGAATAATTTAATAAAATTTAGTTTCAAAATAATTACTAAATATACAAATAAATTAAAAAAATGAAATACATATTTATAAAAGATAACACATTGATATTTTAAAAGAACACCACAATATTTGCACATAATTAATAAATAAAATTAGCGTGGAAATGATTCAGTACAACTGAACTTATTATTTTTATGGTTGCCCATATAGCATTTCTGAACCTGGCGGTATAGCACTTGGATCAATGGTAGAACTAAAGTAATTTGCTGGTGTCTCAAAAATAGAATCTTCAGCTTTATGCATTTGTTTATATTGTTGTTGTTGTTGCTGATGCTGCTGAAGTTCAGTCGTAAATTGTTGTTTTTCGTGTTGATGTTGTTGTAGAGTTAAATTATATGGATTTTGTACATATTCCTGATAGATGTCGGCACCCGATTGTGTCAGTTGTGATTGCACATAAACAGGTGTAAAACTGTGTACAATGGCTGAAGTCGGTATTTTAGATAATGAGGGATATTGATTACCAACTAAGAGATGACTAATTGGCACAGTTGTATTTTCATACTGTACTTAGGCTGTTTCATAAAAAATCTCAATTGTAAATAGATAGCAACACAACAATTATTGTAAAATTATATATATTTTATTTAAAAACAAAATTAAATTTTCAAAAATTACGTTAATAATTACAGATTTAATAAAAAAACAATAAATTATGTGTATTACAACAATGATATTTAAATGAGCGTTCCAATGTATTACGATATTTATAATATATTCGAATATTATATCATCCACCTGTTATATCAGCTAAATACATGTCCATTACTCGTGGGTCTCGATGTTGGACTTCTCTTCTTCTAGGTATTGGTTGGTAGTCAGGTCTTCGCGTTCCATTAACCGCATTTAAACTTAAGTTGTCATTAGTTTCTTCCTCTATGGGACGCATTTGCTTTTTAAGAATTCGTGCAGCTGCTGCAGCACTAGTCATTGGTCTGTCGTCAGATGACGCCGATACATTACTTATACCTAAGACTTCAGTATTTATTTCTGTACTTTGTTTTGATGCATTCGTCGCCTCTGAGTCCTCCGTTACAGATGAAACACCATATTCACTTTTTTTTTTCATTTCTATAGCATTGTTCAATTTAATGCGAAAAGCCTGTTTTACAGTTTTGTAGCATATCTCGCATATTTGGCAGGCTTGGCGAAATTCTTTGAATCTTTTTTTTATAAATGTAATGTAGCGTTCATTCGTAACTTTAATCCCTTTTCCCGAATAATTTTTTTTACACAAATAGCACTGCTTAGGTCTGAATTCCATCTTTTTTAAATAAAAACAAAATTATATGCCGGCAATAAATTGAATGGAGATGCTGCCACCTCACTAAATTATCTCTAATTCAGAAACATTTTTGGCGGCATCAACTTAATCGGCGATGATACCACCTTTCTTAAATGATTTTAAATTCGAAAATATCTTTGCCGGTAACAATTTATGGTATGTTTATATTTCAGTTTTTCTATGTAATTAAGCTATTTATACTCTACATATGCTTTACACTCTTTTACTTTGGCAAGATTTTTGCATAGACTCACTGTTTCACTGATATATAAAAGTTTTTGTTTATGAAGGAAACTCAGAAATAATACGTATTTGCATTCGAACATAGAAATTTTGCCAAAGTCCATCCAGTGGAAACACCAAGTTCTATATTTTTTTTTTATTTATATTTATTATTCAAATAGACTTTAACAATATATTATGATTAACTCTTTTATCTTTACATATATTTTGTATAGCAAATGTATTCAACCCTAAATATTTATTTTTCTAATTTATGATAATTATCCACAATATGGTTACACATTATATTATTATAAATTATGAATTTAATTTTATTTATTATGTGTGCTATTTACAATTTAACCGTATGAATTGATTGTTTGCTGATTTTCGTAAGGAATTATCGAATTATCTTGTCGAACTACCAAAATTAGTATCAGAATTATGATTACTTGTACTGTGTAAACAAGATATTAAAATTCGTCACAAAGTATCTTAGATTAAACATCGGAAACATATTAGGAGTATTCAAGATCTCTGTGCATTGTTGCATATGCATTATTGCAAACTTAAAGAATCGTAAAAGCATTTTTTGCATATTAGTCTTGCAAATGATTAGAACAGCTGATTTTTGTTTTTGTATTTATTTACTTATAATAATTCACAGTGTCTTGAAAATCACCAAATCTGTAAGAACCAAATCTTAATACAAAAATGGCTCACTAACTATTAGATCATATTTTTTTTATCATATTTCATATAAGAGTTTTAAACTCTTATTACATCGATTATTTGTTGACATATAAAAGTTAATGATGAGAAAAAAGAAAAATAACGCTTTCAGTTTTGATACACTAGATATTATATATTTGTTGTTTTTTTTTATATAACAAGAAAAAGTTCGTTCAAAAATAAAAAAAAACATGTAAATAAATTTGAATTAAATTTTCGGAATGAAAAATAAAAGCAAAATAATTTGTTTTTATTTCTAAGGAAAAATTAACTAATTTTAACAAGTATATACATTTCTTTAAGAATAATTTAATAAAATTTAGTTTCAAAATAATTACTAAATATACAAATAAATTAAAAAAATGAAATACATATTTATAAAAGATAACACATTGATATTTTAAAAGAACACCACAATATTTGCACATAATTAATAAATAAAATTAGCGTGGAAATGATTCAGTACAACTGAACTTATTATTTTTATGGTTGCCCATATAGCATTTCTGAACCTGGCGGTATAGCACTTGGATCAATGGTAGAACTAAAGTAATTTGCTGGTGTCTCAAAAATAGAATCTTCAGCTTTATGCATTTGTTTATATTGTTGTTGTTGTTGCTGATGCTGCTGAAGTTCAGTCGTAAATTGTTGTTTTTCGTGTTGATGTTGTTGTAGAGTTAAATTATATGGATTTTGTACATATTCCTGATAGATGTCGGCACCCGATTGTGTCAGTTGTGATTGCACATAAACAGGTGTAAAACTGTGTACAATGGCTGAAGTCGGTATTTTAGATAATGAGGGATATTGATTACCAACTAAGAGATGACTAATTGGCACAGTTGTATTTTCATTATGTTGATTATTTGTTGCCGCAGCTAAACCAGGGGAATCTGAATTAGTATTTATGTCATTTTCAGTAATTTGTTTTTGTTGCTGCATTAAATGCTCTTGATATTGTTGATAGTACTGTTGATATTGTTGTAAATGTTGCTGTTCATTGGTGTGAAGTGTTTGCTGTTCTGGTGTGTATTGTATATTTTCTAGAGTCCGATGTTGCTCACTATTTGTTTCTCCACCATAGTATAAAGTAACTGGTGGCGTTTCAGGCAATTCAATAGCAAATGAATAATTGTTGTTAGTGTTATTTATTATTGTTGCATTTACAACATTTGTAATTAAATTTGATTTATTTAATTCATTTTGTTTGAATGGATCTGATACTTGTTCATTTTGGGTACTTATTAGGTTTTCCGTACCAATTTTTGTAGCTTCATTTACTAAATCTGGCATAACATTTTTCATTTCTGTTGGACTTATTGGTCTCACTTCATTTAATAAAGGTTTTGGGGTAGGATTTAATAGCTTTGGAGTTGAAGCAAATGATATTTCATTCGGAATATTATATAGTGGTATCGATGATATGTCAGTTGCCTGTAATTGTTGTTGTTCTTGTTCTTGCTTTTGTGATAGAATCAATGGCACATTCTATAACAAATAATAATTTTAAATTGCATACTTTTGCTAAAAAAAATTTAATAAAAAATCTAACGTACTTGACCTAAGAGCAGTGCTTCATCACTCTGCATAATATTCATTCCTGGGGGCTGCAAAAGTATACTATGTAGAGGAGATTCAGCAGGAGAATTTACAGTAATCTGTGATGTAAGTAATTCTATAGGTGAATGTTCAACAATTTGCTCGTTTTTTGCTATTTGCTGCTGCTGTTGCTGCTCCTTTTTTGGTAAAATTGTTACTGACGGTGTTGTAAGGATATTATTGAGATTATTACCCATAGCCACCACAGAAGCAGTACGCGTTATCACTTGGTCGTGGTTATCTATTTATAAAATAATAAAAATTAATATTTTAAAAATGTATCTCGATTCAATATTTTTTTTTACCTTCATTTCGAAATAATTCGTTTTTAAGATTTGGCAAAAACTCCCCAATTCGCCGCCACGTTAGTTCCCATAATGGCACTAATAAAGTACCATCATTATTATGAAAAACACGTACTGAATGCATAACTAAAAGCATATTTTTTAAAATTTCTTGCATTTGCTCCGACAACATATCCGAACCAACACGCATAAATTTTTCTATATAACCAAGTATTTCAATCCAAAGTTCGTTAAATACATCGCCTAATTCAATTAATGGTGTTAAATGATGTAAAAATACTTTTGACATTATCGTTGCGGTCCGTATGCGTGATTCTTCGAGCAACATCGGTTCTAAATTTGTTACAGAAGTACTTTCCGGCAACACTTCGTTTAGCAGTGGAAATAATACTTGCTTAAAGCACGAAGCCCACTCTGCCCCTGACAGTGTTTGCAGATCGTGAACCAATAAAGCACGTTGCTGTAAGCACGATATAGCATAAGTACGTACTTCTCGCCGACGATCCATAGCCAAGCGTGCAATACCTTGCAAAAGTGGACACCAACCTTGTGCCCATAATGCTGAACATTGAGGAATTGCTCCCCCTTCTTCAGCCCACCAACGAAAGATCTGTGCTGTACGTGTGTATAATGTATACATAAGATCAAGCAATTGTATGGATAATGTTTCATAACGTTGCACTAAATCATCATCCTCCGGTCTGTATTGTGCATCACCACCAAGGTTTTCAATTCCAGAAAGTTTTCGTTGATTTTCACGTTCTGAACGTTTCGCTGATGTTTTCTTTTTCTGATGAGCAGCATTCGCTTTAGCAGCTTCAAATTTACGACGTTGACGCAAGCCACCATCACGGCATGCTTCGACAAAGGTTCGTATGCAACGCACACATGATTCAAAATTATAGGGTGTGATGTGGGCAACATTGCGTACAATAAAAGATAAAGAATCCCAACACTTAAGTAATGCAAAGGGTGAATGTTCTATAAGTTTGCAGTTAAAAACGAGGGAAGATTGTGCTTTCATTGATGAACCAGCTGTAAGTGGTGATTGTGGTCTATAAATAAGTAAATAATTAATTTATTATATATATTTGTATATAAAAATTTCTATGTATTACCGCGATAAATTCGTTAAATCTGTTTCTTTATTTACAAGAATCCAGTTCTCAGCTGTTGGACTAGAAGGAAATGATGAAGTGTTATTAGATGGTAATTGTTGTTGTTGATGATTCTTGCTAGCGATTTCAGTGTCGGATATGTAACCACGGTCATTTATACCAGAGTCTTCTTCACTACTTAAAGCACCGTCCGATTTAGCGCCGGTGACATTTGGCGTTGGTAAAGTAGTGTCTTCAAATTCTGGGGGTACAGCACCCGCACCCACACATTCCAAAATAGTGAAAATAATTTGCCAATCCTGTTCTGAGTGAATATTTTGGGCAGAAGTTTTTAATAGCTCATAAATGCCTATTGATATTTGTTTTGAAATACGTAAAACAACAGACGGTTTCAGCATAAGCAACATTTTTAATGACTGTAACACAATTGGACAGAGTTCTTCATTTCGCATTAGATAAATAGCAAGTTTGAGAACTGCTACAATACTTCTGTTCAATAAATAATCATAACCGCAAGATGATCCACCCATAAGCAGGAGATACATTTGATCTCGAATATTTGGCCACAATGTAATCATTCTATCTCGATTTTGTATAACAATTTTTACAAGAAATTCCATCCAAAAGACAACTATATCTTCACTGTATGGCAATCCAACAGATTTGTGTGCATTCGGTGCCTTTAGCAATGCTAGAATATTGTTAATTAATTCTTGCAAGGATTCTAACTGTACAAATTTAGATTCTTGTATCATTTGCTCAAGTTGACATTCTTTTATACACTTTCTTCCAATTTTTATAAATTCCTGCTCTTCAGTTGATGGCTCACGTTGTCCTTCTGAAGACAAATATGAATAAAGACTAGAAAATAGTCCAGCTTCTTGTTTTTGGCTTGGCTTCTCAAGTATTAGTTGAGCTTTGCCATTTTCTTCGCAAAAGTCTTCGACTTCCATAATTGTTTTTGGCAGTAGTTTTAATTTAAACAATTGCAATAATATATCCAGTATGTTTTTCCAACCTTCCCGCAAGCAATCACCATAATCATGTACCATTGCAAACGCAGCTTTCATTGCAGCCTGAGCTTTAGGATTTAAGCCAAAATTTACAGCTTGTACAATCTCATTGTAAGCTGGCGTTACAGTATCCATTTGAACCGTATTAAGAAGAGTTGTAAACTTACAAAGGGTTAGTATTAGTGCGTCAAAGTCTTCATGTAAATTATAAAACGCAGAAATACCAGCACATTTTGTAAAACCTAAAACAGTAAAAATTTTAAATATTTCATTACATATAGCTTATAATTATTTTTGTTAAAAATTTTTTATATTAACTTTAAAAAATTTCCATAAGAGTGAATAGAATAGCAGAGAAAAAAATAGGATACTAGTTCTTAACTTAGAGGAGTACTGCGACCATAGCAGAACTTTTATGTTAATAACCGACCCTAACAGAAGAAACTCCCATCCAAGTAATTTTCACCAATCTGTTTTCTCAAACATATTTATTTTGTTAAGATGGTCACGCAGACCATAGTGGCCAGTCAGATAACCTGTCAACATCCTCAGCTTTGTTCTACTGAGGAAAGAGAAGTTACTGTAGTTGTAAGAACGAATCAGATGTAGTTGCGTTGTAAGAACGAATACCGACACTTTTTCTATCTGAGAGTTAGTTGGGAACCAACTTATTTTACAAGTCTCTGAGCCAGAAAATTATATGGACTTATTGGCATTGAATCCTGTGTGACAAGGCAAGATTCGCTAGGTTTTAACATTAAATTCTAAACTACCTATATTAATAAAAAAAAGGATCACTTTTGCACAATTCTTTTTAATATATATAAAATTATTGCTTAGTTTCCATCTGTAAGAGTAGATAATTATGTTCAATATTTTTGTCAAACTTTTCACTACATTAATATATGTTAAATAGAAAACTGTTTTATAATTTGTACCTGTGAGTGTATGTTGATAACCATGTTCACTACTTTTATCAAACATAAAGCTCAACGCACTTAGTGATGCTCCCCAAATGATGTTAAAAAGTTCCAGATCATAAGCTGAATTTTCTACATAGTTAAAACAACCATCAGCTCCAACACCTCTACGCAGTAAAACTTTCCACAAATAGTTCTCCCGAACTATACCCGTTTGCTCTGCTGGCATAACGATTTCTTCATTTCTAAAAAAAAAAAGATTAGTTATTGATAAAAAAAACATGTGTGCATATTGAACTATATTTACTTAATTGCATTAAATATAGCTGTTAACATATCCTGGTCAAAATCAGAACCACCGTTTAATCCACGTAAATTTTTCACAAAATCCTTTTCTTCCATTGGTACATTAAGACGTTTCGCATTAGAATTATGCTGATCCATATTTAACATTATTATAGCATATGCCAAGCGAAATGCGGCATCTGTATTAACCAATGGTTCACCATTTTGTTTCTAAATATATTAAAAAAAAGAGTAAAACTTATAATCAAAAATAATAACAAATATTCTTACATGCCAATGATCAGCAAAATGTTCGAGTACAAGAAAAATTAACGGCGCCTCTCCAGGCAACCGAAACGTTTCCAAATACAGACGTAAAGCTTCATCAATACGAAGTCCCACAAAATCAAAAGAATCCACAAAATTCATTAATATTTTTGAATCCACATTTTTCTTTTTCGATATATATTCACCAATCATTTTTTTATCTAGCCCTGAATTCTCTCTTAAAAATAAAGATATTTCTCTTGGGTCCAATTGAGAATTTAAGATACCATTTTCTTGCAAAAATTGTATACCTTTATCTGGTCGTTGATTAAAAAGTTCGGTACCTTGTGTAAGTACACGTTTTTTTTGCTTCACTGCAGCTAAGTGTTCTTGTGTAACATACATTTCATTTACATTATTACTATTTAAGCGTAAACGTGTAGAACTATTAATGAATTTTGATATATTTTCAATGACTACTTTGCAATCTTCGTTAACTGTGCCGTTCGGTGTTTCAATTACGATACCATCCAAGCCAGAGTTCTGTCGAGAATGACGATTCGTTGGTTGTACAGGAACAATGCTATTATTTTGATTGTCTGAATTTTTCGCAGCAATGCAATTGCGTTCAATATTTTCAATGACTGAGAGCAATGTATCCATAGATATAACATGAGTGCTATAAACTGCATTAGTTGCAGAAAGAGTATATTTTGACAATAAATTCGTGAGACCTTCGAAAACATCAGTACAATACAGATCACAATCATAGTTTATATAGAGCTCAGCTACAAATCCTGGTATACGCCATAGCTGCAATAAATTGTCTAGCGCTAGTTCCCGCATTTCATATGGAGTTTTAGGATTATCACTTGCAATAATTTCGGATAATTTTTTAAGATAGGCTTCTAATTGGAATTTTAAATGACCACGAAGCGACTCAAACAATAAAAAGCACAATTGTAAATCAGCAGCAAAAATTGTCACACGCTCTGATTTTAATAACTGAAACAACAAACCAAAAATTAATATAAAGAAAAAGCATTTTCATAATTTACTTACGCTTATTAAATTCCGGCTTAAGTCATCTTTCACTAATTCAAGCAAAGTATCATATTTGCCAATGTTATCGGCACCAACTTCAAAAGCAACAGTGAGCAAACTAAGACCCATGTGCATCATTGTATCCGTATTTTGTTTATCCAAAGGATTACATAGCATTATTAAAAAACGGAAAAGCTCTTGTATGCATGGTAAACCATAAGGTACTAAATGACCTATGTCCGAGGCATCAAGTGAATTTTGCTGTGTGAAACGTACACCCACGGAATTTACATATTCACTACTTCCTTGCATATTTGATTGTTGTGAATCCACAGTTGTTTGTAAATTCGATGTTTCAATAGTGGATGTTTTACTATCCATATTGTCTTCCTGAGGTACAAATGGTGTAACCACTACTCCATTACATACATCATTATCAGCGATCTCTAGAGCTGTTGTAGGAGTTTGTGTTATTTTACCTTGCATATCAAGTATATTCCCAGCTGGTGTAGCTGGCGTTGTAGCAAGTGGCAATGTTTTAGCCGTAGCAACACTGAGCAATTGTGGACTTGGAAGAGACACGTCTGACACTGTTTCCGTATTTAGATTTGACTGTTGCTTTTTATCTGGATCAATACTACGTTGACTATTGCTACGTTGAATATTTGATGTCGGTTGTATTTTGGGTTGCTTTTTACGTTGCTTCTTGCTTTGTTCCATTGAAGCTGCCATCATTTGAAATTTTTTTATTAAACTAGAGTCACTACGATCTGCAGAAAATTGTGGCAAACGCATGAACAGCAAAATTACCATATCTTTAAGCGCTTGCTCTGCGGAACGACGCAGTAACTCATTTAACCGTGGTTCAAAGCAGATTTTAAAACAACTTAGCATAACTTCACATACAGCTTCATTAGTAAGAACAGATCCTTCTGGACTCCGCATTAATGTGTGAAGTACTTCAACAACACGAAACAAAGTAACGCCATCAGATGATTGATCAGTACCCATAAATCTGGCATGCGTAACAGCATCAACTATATTTTCAACAGTAGCCGCAAGACTTGGGGACGTTGGATCTAAACATTTTACAATTAATTATAATTTGCTCTAATAAAATTTTGAACATTTACCAAGTAATCCATATGATAGAAACTTATTAATGGATGCTAAAGCTAAGCTTGTAACTGCACCTGTTGTTTCATCAGTGCGTATAACTTCTAGGAACGGTGATAAATAAATATTAGGTTCAATCAATCGAAGATCTTCTACGCGATTAAGTACTTCCCTTAGTTCCATAAAAAGTTTCATAATACCATCTTTTTCATCGTCCTTTAAAAGGATATATATTAGTTGTTGTTGTTTATTAAATCATTCTTGTTTTTCTTACCAAATAAGCAGCTGAATTCCATCTAGATCCTCGACGCATAGCCGTTATTAACGTGGACATTTCTCCACGCACAACAAAAATTCCATTCCCTGGTAAAGACATATTAATGATGTGGACTTTTTCTATTTACCTATACGCCACACAGCTTGTTGGTGCAGCCCAATTATGTATTCTACTTTTCGAGAACTCTTTGTACTGATGGTTTTTATATCTTTTATGTTATTTACATATTGTTTCCAGACATTTCAACACAAAAATTTATTATTTATATCCAAAAAAATTGTATTTTTTATTTTATTTAGAGGAAATAGACAAATAAGTGATGACGTTTCTTAATTAAACTTATGACAGCTGATGATTATTTTCAAATAAGTGGCAATACTGCATTATTGGCAATATTTTGTCTTACAGGGTCTTCAGCATGTACAATTGTAATAAATCAGTTATTCATACAAAGAAGTGTTATGTACATGTTTATTTTTTAGATATTCGGTTATAACTATATCAGTAGTATAATATTCGGTTATTACTATATTAGTAGTATACAGAGTTGGGTAATTTCTGAATTTACAATATTATTGAGATAATGTATAATCAAAACAAGAGTATTATCAAGACATCATTTTTTTTAGCATTCGGTTAACATCAGCTAATTCTAATTATTGTAGTGTTGAACAAAATGGAAATAAAAATTGAAATTTTAAGCGTTTACACAATATAATAAATTAAGAAATATAATTAAGACAATTTTAATTAAAATTTATTTTACATAAATTATTAGTTCATTACTGTTCGAAAAAACCTCTTCATAAATTTTATATTATTTTAATAAGGAAAATTAACAAAATTCCGTACCTTTATTAACATAATAACATGAATAGAGAAGTTTCGAAAAGTAGTGAACTACATCAACAAAAATTCTTTTTATATTATTTTAAATAATAATTTTTTAATTGTGGTCTTGGAATTATTTCTTGTGTTTAATTATTCGTAAATAATTTTTGAGACTGCAAGTACCAAAGGTTGAACTCATGTAATATCATAACATATGTTTTTATAACACTATACATTATAAAAACATTATAATAGGACCCTGAAGACGACTATAGAATATAGTCAAAACATTAGTGTAATGAAAAATTATTTTTTTAAAACTATAATAATTGACCAATTAAACAGTTTCAAAACCAAATTTTAATTGTTGCAGTAAAATGCAAAATAATATTCTTTGATTTTGTTTTTGATATTGTGGAGATTATTTCCCTTGATGTAAATATATTTGACAAAATGGTTCGATGAGAGTTTAATTTGTTACTGTAATAGTTGCATAAAGAGTTTTATTATATTTATGTTCGCCTCAATTTGTTTAATTATATAATAACTTTTTACTTTGACTAACTTTATATAAAATTTAAATTAAGCATTATATCATATTAGATATTTTTCCTTTTTGATGCTGAAGATTTGGTCTTAATATTAATAAAAATCTAGTGAAATAAAACCGTTATATTTTATGAAAAAGAAACGATAAAATACCTAAGAATATGTTAGAATATTATATTAATTCATTGAATATTACCCTAACTAGTATGAAGGGTGTCATCCCGATGGCTATATTTCGAAGTCTGTTAATATTGGGCTTTGTCACATAAGCTGTCAAAGCAAGAGCACACACATATTGTCATATATGAGGGGTATTCCTTCTGTATTGCAAAGTCATCTGTTTTTGCAGCATATCACATTTCCCCGAAAAGCAACAGTTTTCAAAACAGCTGCTTTTTTTCTTTTTTTGTTTTGTTGCAATTGCAAGAAAATTTGTGCGCGTATTTTGTTGTTCTCCATTGTAAGCTCGCACAATATGTGCATTCCATGCACCATGCAATGAGTTGGCAAGACCAAGTGAATACACCTATAGCATTTTGTCAAATATATTTATCAATTTAATTCACGTCTTAGATATAAGATTATTAAATAAAGCTGAAATATTGTTCCTGGTACACTCTTAAATACATATATTCCAAACCAAAGTGTATAACTAAATTGAAATTCTATACATACCATAAGTAAATATAATTTTAATTTTATAATTATTGCTATTAAAATTTAAAAATTTTGTTACATATAAATATTTTTATGTCATTCAAACTAAATGAAAAAATATTTTCAATATAAAATATAAATGTATCAGGTAATTTGGTGAAAAAATGTTGAATTTATAACATAATAGCATTTATTTATGGCAACATTAATATAATTGTCATTCAATCGAAATTTGGTGACTTGTCAAATAATATAAGTATAAGTTTCATTGCACTTTTTTAAATTCTTTTTCGATAATATTGTAAGTTAAAGTATTTGATTTATTTTTTACTTATTCAATACTTGTGGTATACATATTTAGTAAAATATTTTATAAAAATAATTTATGTATAAAAGCCGAATATTGAATTAATGAAATTTTTCTGAACTCTCCTAAGTTATCATATTTTAACTCTCTAAATGTATATAATATTGCAAAATGATTTCAAATATAATATCTTTATGTGTATTTGCTGTCTTAACACCTAACTTAATTTATATGAAACACACTGTATACTGTATATTCACTCTGATGCATTGACTCATCGTGGATTTTTGTCTTCTATTGGTCACCCTTTACCATTTGTTTACGTTTAGTTAGACCAATTGTTATACCAATTTGATATAATCGTTAATGTCAAAGGCAATTTGGCCAAATACTATCGCCCACATATAAAACTTGTGTAAAATTATACATAAAGTGCAATACAGTAAAAGTTTTTGTGTTAAAAAATACAAAAACTCTACCTTCTTTGCAATTCGCAAAGTAAATAAAAAAATTATACAAATATTCGGTGTGTGCAATAAAATTTGAATAGATTTTTTATACAATATGGGAAACACGGACTCAAAATTGAATTTTCGCAAAGCAATTGTACAGCTCACACAAAAAAATCAAAAAATCGATGCAAGTGATGAACAATTCTGGGATCAGTTTTGGAATGGTCATCAGACATCGCTGGAAGATGTTTTCGTATTAGTCACTGCAGCTGAAATTAGAAATTTACGTACTGATAATCCAGCTAACCTAGCAACGCTTTGTTACAAAGCAGTAGAGAAATTAGCACTTGCAGTTGACAGCAGTTGTCGCACACAATCAGAGCAACAATGTGTGCTTAACTGTGTACGCTTGTTAATACGATTATTGCCATACATATTTGAAGATGATAAGTGGCATGATTTCTTTTGGAGCAGTTTGCCTGCTCAAGAATCCTCAAATCGACGTGATATTGAGCGGGACCAATTTTCAATTTCGGCTTCACAAAATGTGCCACTCGCGCAATCACTCTTAAATGCTATATGCGATTTATTATTCTGTCCAGATTTTACTGTAACTGCTGCGCGTCGAGCTGGCCCAGATAAAGTTGATGAGTTGGCAAATATAGATAGCTGCGAATATATATGGGAAGCTGGAGTTGGGTTTGCACAGTCACCACCGAAAATGGCGCATATGGAAAAACGGAGAACTGAATTATTAAAACTACTATTGACTTGTTTTTCTGAGCCTATGTACAGAACGCCGCAACAATCTGGTGAACCAAACAGATGGATAGCTTATTTCACTTCTGCTGATAATAGGCATGCTCTACCTTTATTTACTTCCTTTCTTAACACAGTTTGTGCTTATGATCCAGTTGGTTTTGGTGTACCATATAACCATCTTATATTTGTTGATACTACAGAGCCGTTGGTAGAGGCGTGCCTACAAATACTGATTGTCACACTTGATCATGATATGATTATACATCAACAACAACAATTAGAGTTACACCGTCAGTTGCAAGGTGGGGCTGGTGCTGCAGCTGTAGCACCTTATGACGATGGATTTGGTGATAACTTATTTATAAATTATTTATCTCGTGTGCATCGCGATGAAGATTTTCATTTTGTCTTAAAGGGTATAACGCGATTACTTAATAACCCCCTAGTCCAGAATTATTTACCGAATTCAACGAAAAGGCTGCATTGTCATCAAGAGCTGCTTATTTTATTCTGGAAGATTTGTGACTATAACAAGAAATTTTTATATTTTGTGTTGAAAAGTTCCGACGTTTTGGATATCTTAATACCAATTCTGTATCATTTAAATTATTCTCGAGCTGACCAATCCCGCGTCGGACTAATGCATATTGGTGTATTTATACTATTGTTACTTTCAGGTAAGATTTATACAATTTCCAAAACAACTGATATTTATTATTTAATTTAGGTGAACGAAATTTTGGTGTGCGCCTTAATAAACCATATACTGCTACCGTTCCTATGGATATACCAGTTTTTACTGGTACACATGCTGACTTATTGATCACGGTATTTCATAAAATAATTGCTACAGGCCATCAACGACTACAGCCCCTGTTTGACTGTCTTCTTACAATTCTGGTAAATGTGTCACCATATTTAAAAACACTCTCCATGGTAGCTAGTGTGAAACTTTTGCATTTACTCGAAGCATTCAGTACACCTTGGTTTTTGCTCTCAGCTCCTAGTAATCATCACTTGGTATTTTTCTTGCTTGAGATATTTAACAATATCATACAATATCAGTTTGATGGCAACTCAAATCTAGTTTATACTATCATAAGGAAACGTCACGTTTTTCACGCCATGGCAAATTTACCGTCTGATATGACGGGAATAGCTAAATGTCTAAGCGGTCGGAAAATAGGCAAATTTAATTTACCTCCAGTTGCGCAGCATAAAATGTCAACAATAACGAAGCATTTCCCATCACAAGTGCCTGAAGAGGATGATATTGAGGTTGAAGATGACGAACATGAGTCGGAAGCAGAAGAAAACGATAGAAAAAATGATAAACCAATTGATGGCACCCTTGCAGCATTGCCAGCTGAACCTGGTACCTTAAAAGCTTCTTTACTCGAAACACCTGATATAAATCAAATGACGGAACGTGAAAGGGCACATCCAGGTAGTACTGATTCAACCCCGACAGTAGATGGCACTTCCGATATTGTACAATATAAGAACAATAGTGAAAAATCACCATCAGAATCTCGTACATCAAGTCCCAATGGAAGCGTAGTCGCTAGCTCACCACATAGCAACAGAAAAAGTACTATACCAAAGGAAAATCAGTCACGTCTTTCAGTTTCGCATCGTGGTAGTATACGTATGGTGCCCGCTGGACAAGAACGTTGGACACCCACACCGGAATGGATCGTTTCTTGGCGTTCAAAATTACCATTACAAACTATAATGCGATTACTTCAGGTATTGGTGCCACAGGTAGAAAAAATTTGTATTGACAAAGGACTAACAGATGAATCAGAGATCTTAAAATTTTTACAACATGGTACGCTTGTTGGTCTTTTGCCAGTACCTCACCCAATTTTAATTAGAAAATATCAGGCGAATGCGGGAACAACGGCTTGGTTTCGCACTTATATATGGGGCGTAATATATTTAAGAAATGTAGAACCAGCAATTTGGTATGATACTGAAGTGAAACTTTTTGAGATTCAAAGGGTATAAATGTTTATTTATTTGGGTTAGGTTAAATGTATTTATTATATTTATGAAGGCTATGATTCGAAATTATTTTTTGCATTTACTGCTTTAGTTCTTATTTTGTTTAATAAGCATTCCATTTTATGTCTTTAACAGACAATTTCGCAGTGATAATTGCTGTTTCAAAAGTAAAATTAAGAGCTTAGAATATTTAGTTAGTTTGTAAAAATGAAGGTAAAAAAATATAATGGAAATAGCAAGGTCAGGTAGTCACATCTAGTCTAGTGCGAAAATTTAAATATAAGAAGTAATTTTATTTAGCTAAAAATATCTTCTTTTATTACGAAATTCGTACATAATCAACACTAATAGTTATGACCACCATAAATGAAATAAAATAATTTATTTCATACATTTTTATACATCTGACTACTAAGTTTTGGGTTGGAGTCCTCACTAGGAAACTGAGATTGAACTTATCATTATTATAACTATACTGTATAAATATTTTTAATATGCAGCGATTATTTTCTTCTATAAATTTAAAATATAATTAAGAAATTTAATTTTGAAAGTATGTTGTGTTATTGTGTATTGTATTTATATATACCATATTGTTTTGCTTCAGTAGCATATATTTTACATATTTTATCAAATCAAATATTTGTCTAAATATATATTAATAATTGTATATAATTAAATGAGATTAATGACAACAACCCTAGATTTTCACTTCTCCATACTCCTCGAAAATGATTACTTAATTTTATGTTTGGCTAATAAATTTTATAAATAAAATATCCTGTTTCAAAATGGCATAAATTATGGAGGTGTAACTTAATCCAAGAAATGATAAGAATCAGTTAGAGGTTGTGTGGGTCTATCTTCAATACATAGACAAAAACAGTATGTTAAAGGAAAGTCTATTTGAGAATAACAATCAGTCATATAGAGTTAAATATTTTACAAATAGCTCATGTAAATATCCTAAAGCATTACAAATTTTTAGTTCATCAAGTCCAAAAAATATTTACAAATTTTTTTTTTTAGTTTATCGTATATCAATGAGTAATTATCTTATCAAAATATTTTGTTAACCAATTTTGTATCTATTGCTAACGCTCGCCTGTGATTGAGTTCTGAATTGCACTAGATACTGTTTTCTTTTTACCTCCAAGGGCATATGAGTAACAATATTTTATTGTGTTGTTTTGTTAAAAAACTGAAATCATTAAATTTTTTTTTGAAATTTTTATAAATTAGTTATTCTTTAACTTTTGTTGAATGCACACTTATTTTGATATATACACATATGAGCTAAGTTAAACACTAACTGCTTGAATAAAGGGAGTGAAGAAGTTTAATTTATCATTGATATATCGGTGATATTAATTTATTTACGGATATTTTTTTGGGTCATGAAGTCACCTCTCACATTTATGTCGTTTGAATATCGATATACCAAACATAATTTCAAATAAAATAAAATAATATTTGAAGATTATTTTTTAACCTTTTATTTTAAAGCGTTTTATAGTCTGTTAATTTAAATATTACTATTGCATTGTTTTAGGATTTTTTAATTAAGAAATAAATACAATTTTTTATTTATTGTTTTTAATTTAACAATATTTCCACCGCAGTCTATACTCATATTTCAGATAAAATAAAATAAAAAATTAATAAAAATGTGTTTATTTCTTAAATAAACAAATTTGCTCTTAAGTCCAAAAAAATATAGAAATAGATAATCTCAAGGATACATAAAATTTTTCAATTTTTATTCGATACTCTGTTTTAATATTAATGCTAATAATTATTGTATAATATATTATCGAACTTTAATAACATTACAAAATAGTGATTTAAAGTAAATAAGTACGGACTATTGACGAGAAAATTATATTATTTTAAATATCAAATCAAATTAGTGAAAATCCGGGTTGCTATATATACATATTTATTGTATAAACAATGAAAAGATAATCGAAAAAATACTTAAAATTATTGTAATGTTCAAATTTTTTGTGTTTTTATATTTATTAATTAAATTATTGTTTTAGTTATTTTAAATATTGTTATGAATAGTTCAAATCTTATTTTAAATTAATGTCACCTATAAGAAAATGTTTACTATAAACAAACTAATTTATTTAAATAAAATATTTAGAGTCACATTCAACACAATAGAATCGACTCATAATTTATATTGTGTAATAAACTATATACATATGTTAACCTAAATATATAAATGTATGAATTATACGAAGAATATTTATTAAACATAAAAAATATTCATATTACTATAACGTATTTATGGCTTTTTATTGAAGGAGGGAGATTAAATAACATAAACTTCTGAAAAATGTAGAATCTGTGTTAATTTTAGTAATTATCTTAAGAACATAATTAAAGTCGCATAAAAGCTATCGTGTCCTTAGTACAAATAGAAATGATACGTAAGCATTCGTCTACAACATCCAAGTACCACTCACAGCCATTAAACCATTAAACTGTTAGTTAATATTCAATTGTTAGAATTATTGCTAAGTCCGATTTTAGTACAGAAATATATTTTACATTCGTCTGCAAAGATTTTTTAGTGTACACCTATCACTGTTAATAATATTTCTGAAAACTTTAATTTATTTTATTTCTCCTATTATAATTTATGTATTTATTTTATTATATTTATACATTTTATTTTATTTATTTATTTATTTCATTGAAATATTTTGTTTAAATATTTTATTTATTTATTTTATTTCAAATAATAAAAATTAAAATTAAAAAATTATTTACGAATAATTAAATACAAGAAGTATTATTTCCAAGACCACTAATGATATATATTTGGGAATAGTGTACGGTCAGTCAAAAATTCAATTAATTTAAATAATATAAAAGAATTTTTGTTGTTGTAGTTCACTACTTTTCGAAAAAAACCTCTTTATTTTATTTTATTAAATAAATTATTTTATATTTTATTTATTCACTTTTTTTTATTTATAAAATATTTTTATAATAATAAGTTAGGCTTTCTGCAGAAGACAATTTTGTGCAGACAAATTTTTTTACGGTAGGTGGAATGCATCAAATGTTTCCGAGCAGGCTGGAAATCTCATTTTAGAATACAGGGAAAGAAATGAATTACCCACAAAGAGACATTGTGTACGGGTAAAATTAAAATATGACAGTAAAAAATAAATATTTTTTTATAATAGAAAAACTACATATATTAATATAATAGGACGGTGTATTTTCAAAATATATAGAAATATAATTACGATGGTAAGTCTTACGATTTAAATTTTACTCGAAACAATTTCTTTAATAGTTTTATTATAAGTATTATATGTATATTATGAAGACATTTTATATAGGTATATTATTATACATGTTATTTTTTATATATAGTAATTACCTTTTACACTTTCATAAAAGTATAAGATTGTGGAACCTAATTTTAAATATAAACGTTTTTTTTTCTAGGAATCACCAGAGGGCGCAATACTCACTCTGCAAATGATCCAAACATATGATTTTAGAAATTTTGCAAATAATTTATTTTTGAAAAAAAAAATTGTAAAAAAATTGTTGAATTATTATCAATATGAGTAGAATTCTTTTGAATGGACTATTCAAATTAGCTACATTGCATAAGTTTGGATTTCAAAATATTGTTGACACTAAAATAGTTGAAAAACGAAATTTCATACTTTGTGTGTGCCTTCAGGAGCAGAAAATCAACAAAGACGCCACAAACAATGCAAATCCAACGAAGAAAGCAAAGAGTGCGCCTAAAATAACTTTAATGGGCCCAAATGATTCTATATCAGTGACTACATTGGGGGAAGCACAAAAATTAGCAAAACGACGTGACTTACATATAATGCAGTTAGAGAAATTTGATTCAAAAACACAAAGACCAATCTACAAGTAAGTACATTCTGGTTAGATAAAGGACATAGTCCATCGACTACAGAATCATTAGAAATGTATATTTTAAATATTTTATTTAAATTATATTTAGACTAGTAACGTCTGCGGAAATGCTTAAGAATGAAATGAGTGACTTGAACGCACACAAGATATCCACTGATAAAAAGTAAGTTATATGTTTTAATTTTTAATATAGGAAAATTTATAGAACAATTCTTTACTTCTTATAGTTTATCGAAAAAGTCTGAAAAATCTCTAACCATTGGCTCACGCATTAGTGAACATGATTTAGGCTCACGTCTGAAAAATATTAGTAAGTGGTTGGCTAAACAACATGAAGTACGAGTTCTTATACAAGGCAATGCGAATGAAAATCAAAATACGGAAAAAATATTTAAAAGCATATCCGAATCCATTACTAATCCAGACGTAATCGGTAAAATTGTACAGAAGCATACAAAGGGATCAGTTACGAAATTTAGCATAATACCTCAGGCGGCAGTAACTCAGCCACCAGTATCTCAGTCATCGATTACAGACGAGAAGTCGTGACTAGATATGCAAAAGTCTTTGAGTCAAAGGATGTGTTCACGGAATATTTATACATATACTAATTTACTTACAAATCGGTTACCACAAAGATACTTTTCAAGCGAAAATGTCAAGGAAACTAATAATATAATAAAATATTTTGGTAGTTTTACATTAATCAGTTTGATTGTGCTTAAATATGTGTTTTGGTTTAAGTATTTTAAAATGAAATCATCTACTAAGTAATTTGTGACTTAACTTCTTGGTAATGGATATATGTGTATATGCAATTCCGAATATAGATTTCTTTCTGAATACAAATGTTAATTAGTTAATCGTTATATTGTAACAAAATGCATTAAATTTTCATTTAACTTTACTTTTTAATATATTTTATAAAATGAAATGAGCATATTTACATACATACAATAATGCTTCCATAAAAAAATTTGTTATTTTTTATATGAAATAAAAAAAAACTATTGCTTTTAAATTGCTAAAGTTGATTATATATATATTACTAAAAATTTAGTTATTATATTAGTATTCTAATATATTAATTTAATAATCAAAAGTATTAAATTATTAATTAAAAACTAAAGTGAACTTACGCTTAGAGATTGAAATCGATTTATTCATATTGAATATCTAAAAAATTTTTCAATTTATCCAAAGAGTCAGTAAGCGAATACACAAGTTCACTCTTAAATTAATTAAGCTTAAAAACTGACTGACTGACTCTGAAAGTAAGAAATTACTGTTTATATCAATAACTAGCAGAAAACTCTGCCAAATCAATTATTAGAAAATAATTATTCGGTTGACTCTAACGCCGTTCTATAACCAAGTATTTCGGTACTCACACAATTTTTTTCATTAACTTTACACTTGCTATAGTTTTACAGTTGATTTTGTGTTAGTATTTCGGTGGTTTTTATATTTGTTGTACAATATTGTGAATCAAGGTTTACCGAGAAGATTTACCGAGAATGATTTGCAGTTAATATTTCTTTATATTATGATCATGATCGATTTCATGTAGTTGTTGTAACCCGCTGGGATCCAAAAGCAGGTAGCATGTCGATTTTATCATTGTCGTCAATGATGTCTTTACAATTAATTGGCCGGTCTTTCACTATTTGTTTAAAATCATAAATTTCGGTTTCATAACTCGTAACCATAACTGCTTTCTCCTATTCTCGTGAAGCTTGTTATACTCTCAGTGTGAGCATAAAGACAAAAGATGCTTAGAATGATTTCGCAGATGAATTTTTTTGAAATATGAGAATAAATAAAGTTATAGAAGAATAGTATCTATATTTTGATGCGGAGGTTTACCGGCGATATCTGAAGAGTATATTAACCGTTATCATGAGTTGATTGTGGGCTCATACTGTTATGAGAAGAAAAATTCCTGCTATCAAAATGGGTTAACCTGCTAATTTTGACCATAGATGGAAAAAGCACTTTGACTTCCAGAATTGGAATATCGTTATTGTCCAGTGATTGTATGTAGACATACTAAATTAGTTCCGAAAATTCAATCCGGTTTTTATAGCACCTTTTGCACAATTGAGTTAATACTTAAGATTAAAATTTTTGATTGCTTTTGGGACATTTGAAAATATAGTATTATTAGTATTAGTATTAAATATAGTGTTATTAAATATTAAAACAAACCCATACTTGCTCTTTGAGTCCATGTTTGAAACCAACATTTATTCTAGTGTTTTCAAAATACACTAAAGATAGAAGAGTGTGCATAAATATATTTAATCATTTTATAATTATAATAATCTCTTGGTTATGATGAAAGGTATTACGTACTTTATGTATTTATACATAAATATATATAATTTTAGTTGAAATCTATATATTGCAATATTAATATGAGGTGGGCTGTATTGGTACTAGAACCCTACTTAAGTGATCACTGAAATACTGTGCTTTATAATTATATTTTTTTTCCAAATTAGTTCTAATAAAAAGAAAATTTAAAGTCAAGAAATTAATGACAACATTAGATTATGATGTAGTTTTAAATATTTTGTCTTGTTTTTCTGCCAATTATATTAGATAACAATTCTGATTCTAAAATTAATAATTACTCCATTTTGAGACATACAACGCTTTTCTTGAGAAGTGGAGTGTAGATCTGGTCGTTCCTGAAACTAATTGTAGTAAATTGTGCTCTTTTTGAATGATTATAAAGTCCATCTTTTTTGCCCTAGATTTATAAGTAATAACAACTGATATATATGAGTTGTTTTTATTATTAGAACCAGTTTTAAAAATAAGAATAATAACAAAACATATTATTTTAGTGATCACTTAAGAAACGTGTCAGTACCAGATAAGCGCACCTCATATTTATATTGCAATATAAAGATTTCAACTAAAATTACACATATATAAATATATATATATATATATATATATATTAAAGGAGTTGTTATTACTTATGAAATAGATTAGGCAAAAAATATGGATTTTATGGTCATTCAAAAATATATTTATATATATATATTTAGTAATATGTATATTTATATATATTAGTACCAGCACAATAACCTTGATTAAATCAAAAGATTGCATATATTTAATTTATATGAATTTAAAAAATATTTTTTATATAATATAAAAGAATTAATAAATAAGTATAAGCGAATACAATGAAAAATGAAAATATTAACTAAATCAAATTTAAATAGACATCAGTTAATACTACAATGGAGACCTATATTATATATATATGTATATATAAATATATATATATATTATTACTATATGTAAGCATAAATATGCAAACATCAGTAATTTTTATATGCTTTGTTGTGATGATTTGGCACCATTAAGCAATTTCGCGTCTGTTTCAATCTTAGTACCGATTTATATACACTATTAATTGGTTCCCAACAATTGCGTTCACATAACTCTAATGATGTAAATTTATTTTCATTGAAATCACATTCATCTGTGGTGTACAACATGCACGTATTCTCACAAAAATTGAAGAACCAAAAATTTTTTACTGAGTGAGACGACGCACACGGAGAATTAATCAATGGTTTAAAACATCGATTAAAATTTCTGTTTAGTTGAAGGGGTTTTAGAAATGATTTCGGACTACCTTTATAAAGATTAGCTACTTCAAAGCCTTTCTCATTCTTCCATTTTTCTTTTTCTTCGCTGACTTCATTGTTGGGTTTTGAACGAAGTTTACTGTATTCATAGGGAGCGTAATCTCTGCCATAATCTTCTTCGTCATACCATTCGTCCTTTGTTTGAGTAGTATTCAATTGAGAATTTTCTTCAGAATAATCATAACTATTATAATTCAGCTTATTATTTGTTTGTTGTCTTTCGTCACATTCTCTAACAAAGCATTTCTTTTGTTGAGACAATGGGGAATAATGCATATTCTAGAAATCAAAATTGAATGCAAAATAACTATAAGAAATACTTTAAAAATTTTTACCTGACATTTTGTTTTAATCATTGGATTAGTATATTGCCTATAACTTGTCATAACGCCTTCGCCACATGTTTTACTGCATGGTGACCATGGGCCCCATGATGTCAGTTGACATTCGTCATTACTTTCTTCTTGGCTATTATCTAGATTTTGATTGTTATGTTCACAATTACTTTCAAAACAAGAGCGTTCCTCATAATTCTGTTTATAACAATTGAATTTTTTGGCTACTTCAGGTTCTTTGTAGTCTCGTGTACGAAATTGTGTTCCTTCACCGCATTTACTAGAGCATTCACTCCAATCCTGCCATGGGTGTGTATTGCATTCTAAAGCTTCGTCATTGTCATTTGCTAAAAATGATTAATTACTTTAGTATATTATTAGTAAATTAGACTTATTATAGTAAATTAATACTAGTATAATTATAATAAAAGTATAAATACTATGATAATAGTAAACCACACTTATCTAATAACCAAACACATAAAAAAATTAAAAATTCTAATAAAATGACAAAAAAGTTGCATTAAAATAAAAACTCAAAAATAATATATTCTTTCTAAAGGCATTTTAAACCTACATTCTTCATTTTCACATAATCTATAATATAAACGTCTTCTGCTAATTGTCAGTTTTGCCATTGGTTTCATAGCAGATCCATCTTTATTATAGAAAGGATACCGTGAATCATTAGGATAGTCAGATCTTAACCGTTTGATAACATCAGGTGGTACTTGTGGTTGATCTGGAGACTATAAAGGTATATATTAAAATTTTTAGAATAATTTATCGTGTATATATATGAAACATACCAGATAAGAAGGTCCAGCATCCGTACCGATATCGGTGGGATATAAGTTTATTACATTTTGCAACAGCCAAGTGCAATTAGGCAAACAAAGATTAACACCAGTTATGCCTACCAACCAATCAGGTGAAGGTTCGATTTTGGATACCATTGATATTAAATGATGTTTGGAATCAACACGAATAGAAGCTGTAGCTCGGCCATTGACATTAGGAAAAGCTGGTGTACGTGCTTTTATTATAGTTCGTATATTCCCCATCTTAAATACAAAAATATAAGAATATAAAAAGTAGTGTGATCTAAATTTTTTATATATAGACTGTAAATATTTATTACTTTATAATTATCATGAAATTCCCGTTCAAGTAAACGTGATGATCCGTGTTCAGCAAATACTTTCATTGCTGGTGTTGCTAACTCACCATATTCCCAGAAACGATAATCATTTGAATGTGCGACACCTAACATATCACTAAAATGTGTCAGCCAAACATTAGTAGGAAAATCTTTTGGATGTAAATTGCGAGACCAAAGTCGTTCGAAAGTTATCTAATTGAATTGAAATTGTTATGTACTATATTGTTGCAATTTAATTTTATTTTTCATGTACTTCATAGCGTGCTTCATCACATGCACAACAGGGTTGCATGGAAGATAGTGAATTTTGGCTTTCAGTTTCATCTACTATTTCTTTACATATACGTTTAGTTAGTCCACCATCATCCATAAACCATATATCTCGATGCTGAACTACTGTTGCTCTTATAAGTATACAACCTGAATCTGATTCTTGAGGTGCTACCCAGGCAAAGTTTATATTTATTTTAGGTCCCATATTTGTACTATCAACCATGTTTGTACAATTCGGTCGATACCGCGTCTCCACTGTGTCTGTTAATAAGAAAGAGCCTAAATCCTCTTTTTGATTTGCATTGCCATCTTCATTTTCTAATGCAATTAAAAATCGAATAAATCGACGCCCACCGAAGGCAGTAAGCGAAACTACAGAAAAACAATCAGATATGATTATATTGATAAATATAATGGAATAGAATATAAAATAGCAATAGTAAATCTTTTATGCTAATTATTGACTAATACCAAACGGAATACATTCAGTACATTCTTAGGGTAAAGCCTAGAATGTCTCTAGTTGACAATAATGGAATGGAATATAAATAATTAAATTTGATTATATGTAATCACATATGATTATATAAAATTATATTAAATTTGATAATATAATAACGTAGAACAGAAAATTACTGGGTTGTGGTCTCTTACGGCAGTGAATCATTGCAACCGTAGTAAATTTTTTGTGCTAACAACTGATCTCAGCAAAAAGAAGGTATTGAGTCTTTGGAATTAATGCCAAAATATTTATAGTTGAACATTTCTAAATATCAAATATTGTATATCTAAGAATTCATTTTGAACTAGATCAAAGATAGAGAGTTACTAAGATTGTATTTTGAAGTCAGCCACTTCCAGGAAGAACCGATTTTTCTATGACTTTGACTCCATCTATGACTCCATCTTGTTAAAATACTAGCTCACTAATTTGGTGACAAACCCAGAACATTATCACGACAATATGTTTTTGTTTTTATCCAGTTATTGATCAGAGACTATGTTTTAAATCAACTAATTCAATATTTCAGTTCATAATACAGTTCACAAAAATTGTTTAGTTAAACCGGTTCTATTATAATTATCCATGGATATAGTTATATTATATGTAGGCACTGTATTAACTATTTTTGAAAATCTTTTGTTAAAAAATATTGAAAATTACTGTAAGAACATAATTTTCTCTAAATTTCCAAATGAATTCAAATACTTCAAATTTACTTTCCATTAAAGTTAAGCCGCTTTCATTAATTTCAATTCCAATGAACTTCAAGTTTGATGATTTTAATTTGTCCTTATCATGAAAACGCCGCAGTTAACCTTGGTTTTTAAAATTAAAAAGAAAAATAAAAACAAAAAAAAAAAAACACTTAATAGGCGTCATTATTTTGCATTGGAAATATTATGGAACTGCTTGTTGATTTGTTTTCATAACACTACATTCATTGTATATAATGTATTCTAAATGTCTTGTGCAGTTTGAGCATAAATCTCTTATCTAACACTACGCCTACTCGAGACAGCAATTTCAAGTTCATTGCTGGCTGGGCCCAATGTAATACTTTGAACTTTTTGAGATTACTTTAGGCGTTATTTGGTAATTGAACATGATTAATAGTTTTCGTATGAGTAATAAAAATATACGTACCATTGTAGCTCTGTCCTAGAACATATGTTTGAGGGTTGCCACTGATCGATAAGGTGAAATGATCATCTACTGGTGATTTTGGTTTATAGATGTGTGTCGGATATCTACTACAAATTAGCGGCCATATTTTTGCGGGTTTCAGTATGAGTATGAGTAATGTTGCAAATAAAAGTATTGCTAAGTTCTTGAAAATCATCTTAATCTCGTTTTGAGATGTTTACACTTTTGTTGTTAAATTGAAACTAATATTTATGTCTCAGTTCTTTATTATTTAATTATAAAATGTGTTAGAGTTCGCACAGAAACCAATGAGAATTTCTAGAGATAAGCTCAGAGTTGAGGCAAATAAAAACTGACCTATTTTGCTCAAAAATGGCTAAATGTGAGAATCAATCTTAATATTTAAAAATAATTTTGTATTAAGAGACGTTAAATGGAGTAATGAATGCAATTTTACTGTAATCAATAATTCAGTCTACAAAGAAGAAAAAATTTTCTTATGCATGTATATATGTATGTGTAAATATATATAATAATTAAAAATAATATTTATAAATATAAATAATATATATATTATAATATAATAAATATTTTTATTTTACAATATTTATTAAATCTGGATATAAATAATTTTTATTTTTTCTTTAATATTAATTTTTTAAAATACTCAAATATATTAAATTCAATTTTAACGTCCGTTTTGACCAAAGAAACTTAATTCTTAATATAAACTATTGTTTTCAATAGAGAGGTATTTCGAACAATATTAAATTACAACAATAAAATTTTATTATTTTATTAATTAATTGAATTTGTGGCTGACCATACAGTTGTTTCGAGTATTGTCAAATATCCATTATGAGTGGTTTTGGAATTATTTCTTATATTTAATTATTCGTAAATAATTTTTTGAGACTGCAAGTATCAAGGGTTGTACTCGTGATCTGCCAATTTATATACTCAACTACATGAATTTAATAATTAATATAGAAAATATATCATCATCACCATCTGTGACTATACAGTCCATGTAGGACGTAAGCCTGTTTAACAACATCCTATCATTCTTATCTGTTTAATGCTTTTGTTTTTCAATATAGAAAATATATACAAATACACAAAATATACAAAAAAATTTTTAAAAATCCACATTATGCTATAAGACCAGTGGTGAGAACCTGAGTTCAATCAAAATGTTCTATATTGTTTATGAAATATTGAAAAAATATTGTTTATGATATTATAAAAAATCAACTTTAAAAAGGTACTAACACTACTTTTTGGTAAACATTTGCGGAAATTACCGAATCTAATTCTCATAATTGCTATTTGATCGTAACAATCGATAATGATTTTTTTTCTTAGTATACTTACTTACTTACTTAATTGTCCATTATAACCGTACATCTGTATTTTTTATTTTAAAATCATTTTGCTGTCGCCTCTATATTTCATGCTCTGCGATTTGTAGATTAAACGGTGATCGAGTGGTAAATTTTTAGTTGACATTTATTTTGTATGGCGTTTAATATCTAACATATATATGAATTGTCTATATTTCCATCTTTCTATAGAAAATCTTTCTCTTCCGCCAATTTGATTTGAGGATAGAGTTTCGAATGTTTTCTAGCATCCTTCCTCCTATCGTCCAGTGTCCTTTTCATGAGATATCCTATTAACCTTTATATGGCTGGGTACGCAGAACGAGTGAAATAGAGGACTTGTAGAGAGTTATTTTTATTTATCGAAGGAGACTTCGACTTTTAATTGCATTTTGTTTCTAACAGTAGCATCTGTTAGCGAGTGTATTCTTCGTTTGCTATCAAGATTGATATAGTGCTAGCGTTCATTATATAGAAAAACATTAATAAAAATGTTAGTACATGATTAACGATCAATATTTGATATCATTTTTAAATGTAAAATTGTTCCATATTTAAATATGGTTGCGATTCAATTGGAAGGTTATTAAGCAGGACTATTCTTGATTTGGGACTAATTACAGATAAAATCTTCTGAGTTAATATTACTTATTCAAATTTGAAAGGATTACAACTTATATTACTATTAATATTATATTATTAAAATTTAAATAATTATATTTGCTGATAGATTACATACTAGCTTCTTTACGATGAACTCTCTATTTCGACTATTTATTCTGCACAAACATTATTGTTCATAATTAAGTTCTTCGATTTTGCTTCGGACATAGATGTGACATTACTGGGTGTGGAATATAAAAGTCTAGAAAATTTTTTGTTAAAAAAAGATGAGCATGACGAGTATGTTAGGATTCGCCAATTCTGTCTTTCTAAATAATTTTTAACTCAAAACTTTACATCTGCTCTATTTTGTGTTACATTTGTTTTTTATCAGAGTTCACTTCAAACATACTGCTTGTACTAGTGCTAGTGCCATTTTATTTAGTCACTTCATAACTCATCACTGCTTTTCGATCCTACCAAAGGCAGAGTTTTATGTAACATTGTAAAGTGGCATCTTTCGCTTTGTTGTTAATAGCTCTGGCTCACCACGTCTAACATACTTTATTTTATATTTTGGATAACCATAATAAATCTATTTTCCGTCACCAGTGACGATTCTTTTCTTTTTTTTTCTTTTGATTAGTGACGTTTTGACAGTGACGTTATCTTTCAGTCTATCTGATTTCATTGATTCAAAATTATCATAAAAAGTTTTTTCAAAACTACTCAGTTATTTCGTTACTATCTTTTCAACCAAAATGACTTTCTTGAAAGTTTTTTTCTTTGTTTGAAGCATTTTCTTTGTGATATAATACAGATGGATTGAAGGACAGATGCGGATAATATGTTAAATCTTTCCACTTCTTTTAGTACTTTAACCCTTTTAAGATCATGGTGAAGTGTCTTTATCAGACGTGCCGCATATAGTTGTGTAAAGTAAGCCAAATATGTATATATGTTTAGTAAATTTGAAGACCATCATATAGTTTAGAAAAAATATTATATAATTACTATTATTACATTCAGGTGAGGCTTTGTAATATATTTTGAACAAATCTTTATGAATTACATCTTACATATATAAGCTAATTTTGTGAATGTCGATTGTATTATTAAAACAATACACATATTGACTGTTTACCACTGCCTACCATTAGAGTTCCAACTGTTACTGTTTTGTTCTTCTTGTTGCGATTCCTCGAAATTTTCTATCGGCGTATTACATGTTGCCTCGCAAGATTCTAAAGTACGAAATTTATTTTTGTTCTCATCACAATTATCAGCAGTGAAAAGTTTGCATTGACGATCTTCAGCATCATAGAACCAATAGTTACTTACGATTACTTTACTTTTTTTACACTCTTTGCAATAAGGTGTTGGTTTTTCCAAGCAGTATTCTTGCACAACCATGTATTCATTTACGTCCGATCCACTTACTGTCCGATCTATTCCATGTTTACGCTCGTTGTCAAAGTTGTCTTCATTGTTACGATTTTGTTGATTTCGATTTTGTACAACGTTTTGGTATGGTTGATTATTGTATCTGGGAACATTATAATTTTCATATCTATTCTTTTTATTCTGTTCTATCTCATCAAAATATTTGCGATTATACATCTTATTCGTATTTTCATTTTGATTTTCACTGTAAGGTTCACGATTAAATAAATTTGGTCTTTCAACATTTCCAACAAGGCGATCATTTTCATATGTATTCTCTTTTTCAGCAAAGTCCTCTTTTACACGATCATTTTCTAATCGGTTGCGTTCATAAGCTCTACCACGGTTTGTTGTCTTTCTGTCATAGCCAGTATTTATATTGCTAGTTTGTTTGTTTTTCGAAAACCGATTATATTTTTCTCCATAAGAATTGTCTTCTGTGGAATCATATTCATCAATGTTAGAATTCATATTGCTTTGGGTTTTAGCTGTTAAGCTGCCACCGCATAAGTTCTCTTCACAATCCCTAACTTGTTTCAGTTTTACCGGACTGTTATTCTAGAATAAGGAAACACATATATAGATCAATTATTAGGAATAATTAATAAGGTATATATAGGCGAATAATATATATTTATACATAAATTTAATTTTTTGTTTATATTATATTTTTAATGTTTTTTTTTTAATTTTATATAGAGTGCATTTTTTAATGCGCTCTATATGTATTTAGAAAATTATTTATTAATGTTGATGAGGTTGGTTTCACAAAGGCCACAAATTTATAATTATATCAAATCGTTTTTAATTTAAAATAATTATATATAAATCCTTTATCAACGAAATTTTAGCGAAATCAAATATCGAACTCTAGTTGATTTGCCTTAATATAATTTATCAAAAATACATACTACTCAAATAGAATACCAGCTTAATATCTAACAGCTTAGCGACGACTGATTTCTCCTGTACTCAGTATTCGCAACTGACCCTTTGCATGCAAACCAGTTGTAGTGCATATTTGACTGTTTACATGTGTATTCTGATTCCATTTTACTAGGAATCAAGAACTCTGTTCCATAAACTAATTCAAGAGCAGTAAAAACCGAAATGAATTTTTTTTATAATATATAATAATAGCAAATAGCGAAGTGAATTTGGGGTAATAATAATAAGTTTTTATTAAAAGAGAAAATTTTCAAAAAATATATTTACTTGACATTTCTCTCTGGCGAAGGAATTTATGTAATCTCTTGTTCGCGTTGAAATTCCTTTTCCGCAACTTTTTGAGCAACCCGACCAATAACTCCATGAAGTTAGCTCGCATTCAGCATTTGAGTCTTCCGTAAACTGGTCGTCAGTAACGTCACCACACTGCTCTCCAACGCAGTCTTGTGTTTGGTTGAGTTCAACATTGCAATTAAAACGTTCTGCTAATCTATGGTCTTTATAAAATCTGGTACGATTTTGTGTGCCACTACCACATCTGGAACTGCAATTACTCCAATTATTCCATGGATGTGTAACACATTCTAAACTTGTGTCTTCTTCTGTAACACGATAAAAGTAAATTTATGTATTAAGAAGTATAATTATCATTATTATAGACAATATAAATAGTAATAGAATATATAAATATAATGGCATATGTATATATTATATACGATTACTTAAATATAATTAATATGATTTGCTAATCATTATATTTACATATTTAATTATTCTCATCTGTTCAATTCTAAAGTTTAGAATAAAGTTAAATTTTAGAATTGCATATTTAAATATATATAAGCATCAGTTAAATACTTTAGTAATCTAAAGTAAAGTTCTATTCATCACATTCTAGCATTAATGAACTAGGTTTAACAGCGAAATAGGAGCCAACAGGAATTTGCTTATTTATCTACTTATTTGCTATAAGTAGAACAAGAATAAGCCAACGATTCGAGAAGCTGAACGCTACATAGCAAGAAAAGCAATGGTTTGAAATTCTCAACGTCACAAACAAGAGGGTGATCGGTAAAAATATGGAGAAGAGAGATAGTGAATGAGAACCTCCTGCATGTCCTGATATGAAACTAAAGAATGTGCGGAAATAAATGTAAATTTATAAATTTTGTTAAAATTCCAAGTATCTTGTAGAAATAAAAACAAATAATAAGAATAATTAATAATAATCTACAATACAATATTGTATTAATGTGATTCGAAATTGCACGGACTATTCTAGTAACACATGCTTACCTGTATCACAATTTCGTTCATAAATGCGCTTTCTTATGACATGTAACGTAGCTAAAGGTTTCATTGGAATTCCCAAATCATCATAAAAAGGAGATCGTTCATCACTTGGAAAAGTTGAAGTTATACGTCGCGTAACATCAGCTGGTACTTGAGGTTGATCAGGAGACTTTAAACATCAAATTTAAATAATTAAAATTATAATCAATAAATCGATAATAAATCGACACACTTTACCATGTATGAAGGTCCAGCATCAGTGCCTATATCCCACGGATATAAGTTAAGTGTTTTACGCTCAACCCAAGTACAATTTATTAAACATAATTCTAAACCCGAAATACCCAAAATCCAATCCGGCGATGGTATAATTTTAGTTACCAATGATATCAAATGATGTTTCGCATCCATACGCACATTAGCTATAGTCGTGCCTACGATATTTACGTGATAGTTAATACCGGGAGCTTTAATAATGGTACGTATATTTTCATTCTACTAAAACAAATTCAAATGTATATTTTTTCGTTGATAAAAAAACAATAATTTAAAATTACTAACGCTTATATTTTCTTTAATTTCGTCTTCGAGAGCCTGCGTTGCACCATGTTCTGCCAATTCCCGAAGTCCTGGAGTAGCTCTAGTGCCATACTCCCAAAATCGATATTCAAATGTGTGTGATGCACCAATAACTGTACTAAAACGTGTACGCCATGTTTCGGCAGGAAAATCTTTAGCGTGTGTGTTTCGTGTCCATTTACGTTCAATAATTATCTAAAATTGGTTGTTCACGACATATTATATCATAAACACAGAAAATACTCACTTCATATCTAGCTTCATCACAAGCACAACAAGGATTTACCGGTGGTGTTTGACTATTGACTTCATCAATTTCTTCAGGACAAATGCGTTTCGTTAAAAAACCATCATCCACAAACCAAACATTTCGATGCTGTAATACACCTGCTTTGATTAGTACACAGCTACTGTTTGGATTGGTAGGTGCAATCCATGCTACTACGATATGTGATTTTGCATTTGAATTTGTATTCTCAACCAAATTTTGGCAACCCATACTAAATTTCGTGTCTGCTGAGTCAACAATTTCAAAATGTCCAAACATATCACTGTTTAAACTTTCACTCTCCACAACTAAAGTGAAACTTGTGAATTTGTGTTTTCCCGCAGCTGATATGGAAACTAGAGTTCACTTCAAAATATTAGAACTTCCATATGATATATAATAGAAAACAACTAACCATTATATTGTTGACCTGGTATATAAGTTGTGGGATTACCATCGATTAGTATTTGGAATCTATCATCCGCCGGCGTTCGTTCCCCGTTAGCACCTTGTGGTTTGCGATTACATGCTTCTGTTGAAAGTACAACAACCGTACAAAAATAAAACCATTTCCAATACGAGTTCATATCTAGTGATCAGTGATATTTTCTAATAAAGCGGAAGTTCTATTTCGAAGGCGTTCTATTACGAAGGCTTGTCAATAGTGAACTGATCTTAAGACGATCTTCTTAATTAATGTGAAGCGTGAAGCAATAAGGCATGCTTCTTTCTACCATCAAACAAATGTCTTTAATTAATCTTAGAGTAAGTATGTCAACACTTCAAACACGCGACATTAAAGTAAAAATGGGATCACTTCTTCAAAATAAATTAATTGTAATATTTGCGGTTTTTGTTTTCATTCAAACATAAACCCATATTCTAGTGGAAAATGTATGAATCAGAGGGTTTCATGGAAGCAACAAACCCTTCTTTTTGCTTATAGATATGTTAATTATAATATAGTTGCCAGTTCCAATATAAAGTAAATATCATATGGTATTTTATGGAAATTGTGAAATGATAAATTAAAATAAAACTTATACAAAATGAATAAAATTATTTGATTTTCTTGTTCGCTATATAATTTTCAGTCATTACTAAGAAAAATTTTATGAAACATATGTGTGCTACGGGAGTGCCTGGGAACTACATCAAGGCGGTTTACTTTTCGGCTTCCTTTTTTTTTCGGCCGTATCTACAGAACAGTATCAAAAAACAATCGATACTTCATGTATAGATTTAACTAATTACTACTATTAATCGATTTAATTAGGCTTATTTATAGAAAGTAGTGTTATTGTATTAGATCATGGCAAAACGTATTGAATATAATAGAAATTGAGCTATAAATTTAAAAATAAATCTTGTAAAAATTAAATACTAGATATGTATTTATATACATATATTGTCTTTGTCTCTCATGTTTTGTGATTCTTTAAATTCTAAGATTCAAAAGAATCCGAATGTTTTAATATTAATATAATAGAATGTTTTAATACATAATATTAATATAAAAAATGCTGCCTATCCGCAATATAACATAAATAATTTAATAACAGTAAGCATATAATGATTAAAATCATGTCAGAACAAAAATCATATAATAACAGTTGTATGTATTGCAGTCCGGTTCTATACAAGTATTTACCTATTATCTCTAAGGAATACAGACGAATTATCCGAATAAAAAGAACTATACTCGTTTAACTCAGGTTAGGTTTTAACTGCTGGCGTAATAGTTACAAATTAGTCTGTGTTTTTAATTTTTGCCAAGGCTTTAGTTAAATAGTAGATAAATAATAAACCAGCTAAAACGCTGAATATAATCGGAGTTTCTCAGCGTGATGGTAATTTTATACTGCGGCTCTCTTAATCTATTTCTAACCGGTATTACTAAGAACACAAGCATCAGTGTAAGTTAGTTTAATCTTTTAACCTATTATACTAATTTTAAGAATACTAATAAACGAGTATACACAAACCTCCTATATACGTTATTTTTTAAATTAGAGGCTATTCTCTCCATTGCTATAGTAATAGTGTTAATTTCATTAATTATATATTATTATCCTCAAGTCTTACCGTAAATTAATAAAATGAGTGCAAAATCTATTTTGTTATATGGTAGTCAAAACTTATATTAATCTTTTTACGTTTTTATATATATTGTGTTTCTGAAGAATCAAATATTCAACAGTCCTACCACTTGTATATATAAATATATAAACCTATAGACCCACAGGTATAGATGTGCAATCATCGTACGCTGGTAAGTATCTATATTCTATTAACCAACCACTCTATCTGTCAATTTAATGATCCTAAAAATGTCTTACACATGCAGTTTTTATTTTATTATTTAAAGAAACCCTGTTTTAATCTCTGTTTTGGCACGAATAATTTCATTGTATTGCGTATTCGAATAAATTCCAATTTAAACTTATTACTTTTAGAAAGTTCAACGCATTTGAAACTACAAAACTATCTTTCTCTATAAATAGAGATCACTGCCTCTTTTCTTACTAATTATGTATTTACATATATACAAAATTATTTTATCTTTTTTTCCTTTATTTTATATTTTGGTTATTATTGAATTATTTATATTGACTTTTGAATTTGCCATATTTATTTTGATTTTAAACTATAACTAACGTCTTACAACGATATATTGAGCCTATACTTAATCTAATTTAGCCGAAGTCTAGCTATAACCTTCTCTCTTATTTTGTTATCTTTTCTATTGGCAACTCTATAAATAAGAATTACAAATGACATTTCTTTCAATTTCTGAATAAGCAAAATGAAGACAGTATATCGCTAGCTGAAGTTTCACTAAAAAGAAATATCCGGTACGCTGGTTTAATCGAACGCATAGGTAATGTCATTTTCATTGTTCGCTTACAAAATGGCAAACTCATTTGTGCTCGTGCCAACCAAATTCGTAATCGAGAAGATCAAGAAAATGAATCATCGTCAGACACACTTACATTGGACTTTACGAAACAACATCTAACGATGTACCGCGACTCCATATTGGTCGAAGTAACTAACGAAAATATTGTTTCGACTTCAGTTACAGCTCAATCATCAAATAAAGTATCTGAAATTGCGCCACTAACTCAGGTAGAATAATTACAAGCCCCTCAATCTGAAAAGCGTAATGCGGCAATTGTTCCGTCTACCCTACCAGAAACCCTATTGATTGATTTAGACTCTAATTACCACCATTTTAGATTCAATCTTAAAAGTGAAAGTTTTGGCAACCCTACAATTAAGAATGACATGACTTTTGTTGTAATGAAAACTGAATTTGAATTTTAATAAAGTTATTGTGAAGACACACATATAATACTTACTATCCTATTTGCATTAGATTGCTGAAATGGGATTTCAACTTTGAACCAAGAATACCAAAAATGTATATCCCTTATATGTGTGATCGATAGCAAAGCTACGGGCGTGTGATTATCCAGTGAGTTTCACGAAGCAATTGAAAACAGGTCTTATAGATATATGTATGTAGATAGATATTGACCGAAACTTTATTGATTATTGCTTTGGAATATTCTTGCTTTTTGTTTTTTTCTCTTCGTTTATTATTACAAAATATTTATTCAAATACCTATTTATTCAAAACTAGTTTCTTATGACCCCCTGGCTCGATTCCTAGCTACGACCAAGCCACATACATTGCTTTTTGTACGGTGTTTGTTGGCTAGTTGTTAAGAGAATATACCCAGTATATATATTTATAATAAAATTTTTATATACCGAAATATTATTTAGAAATATAGAAATATAAGAAATAAATCATATAAGTATTATTAAACTTATTGCTGTGTTAAGACATATTTAAGTAATTCTATTAATTATGATTTGAGAATATTAACTAAATTCATTAATTCTATTCTAAGTTATATTTTATCATTCTACCATTTATCGTTGTCATCATTATTATTAAGCAGACAAGGCATCATAACACATTTTTCTATGCGAACGCGATCCTTACACTTGAAGCTCATATCAGTATTCATAAGGGTACGTGTCTTTTGGCGTACCGAGTTGTCACCACAACTGGCTGTACATGGTGTCCAGGCCGACCAAGCGGAATAATGACACTCATCTTTTTCAATTGTAACTTTAGCATGAGCCTGACTGCTACCACGTCTTTTGTCATGAGAAATACTGTAAATGTTTCCAATGGAGTAAATGTCGTCACAGTGTTGATAGCATTTATCTGTATGCACCAAATGTTTCGGACAAGGTTTACCGCCATACTTAGGAGAACGAAGCACCTTACGAGTCTTAATTTGTACACCTTCACCACATGTGGCATTGCATGCATGTGCATGCCATTCAGATACGGCACAATCAATGCGTCTCTGTTCGGATTTGAATTCGTTACTAAGTAACTGTGCTTTATGTCTAGGTTTTTGACAAGTCTCTTCACATGTCTCCTTTGATGTAAATTTGTTATTGTTCTTATCGCATTTATCTGCCCAAAATAATGCACATTGATCACTTAAATGGTCGTAATACCAATAATTTGCAACATCACTATCACGACAGTGGCTGACCTGTAATTCTTCAAAACAGTAGTTGGGAACAATTGTATCGCAACTTGGAATTGTGCAGTTGACAGTTTCAATGCGTTTGATATGTTTACATGGATCGCCACGAAAATTATTAGGACGTTTAACACCATAAACTTCATCATTATTCCAAATTTGACGTTCACGCTGTCTGTGACCAGTACTACCACAAGGACCCATGCAAGGAGAAAAATCTGACCATGGCGTAACACCACATTCCGGTGGTATGTAATCTTCGCGTTTTTGACTATAACTTTGAAAATTACGAAAACGTAAATTGCTGTCCATATTTTCATTAAAGGCTTCAGTATCTCCAAATTGCATTTCCGCATCAGTATTTTCATTATTTTCGTCAATATTTGGTATACCATTTCCAATGTCTCCACCGCAGTCAATGCCTTCACATTTTTGAGTATCTTGTAGTTTAACACGGCTCACTTTCTGTAAAAAATATATATTACTTATATTTGTATTTGTTCTAGAAAATATGAAGTAAATAAATTACTTGACACTTTTTCTTTGCTTTAGGATTTAGATACGCTCTTGTACGTGTTATCACACCTTTTCCACAAGTAGCGGAACAAGTTGACCAATCACTCCATTCAGATATTGCACACTCCGGATTTTCAGGTCCACCGTTTGGATAACCAACTTCTACTTCTTCGGCAGCAGCTTCCTCCTCATTAAAGTTACCACATTTGCGACCTACACAGTTTTGTTCTTCTCTTAAACTGTTACGACATTTTAAACGTCGCGCTAAAGCTCCATTTTTAAATTCTCTTGTACGATATTGTTTACCCGGCCCACATTTAGCTGTACACTCATCCCAGCGCCCCCACGGATATGTAGCACAACCAGCTACATCGTTTTCAGCTAAAAGAGTTTCATTATCGAATTTGTACATAAGTTTTCTAAGCATAATATACGAATAGACTTACATTCAGTATTTTCACAAGTTTTCTCGTACAGTCTACGTCGGTTAAGGTGTAATGTCGCTAAAGGTTTCATTGGTGCACCAGTTGAATCATAAAAAGGTGATCGTGGATCATTAGGAAAATTTGACTTAATGCGACGAACCACATCAGGTGGTATTTGCGGCTGATCAGCAGACTGTTTTAAATGTAAAATAAAATTATTTCATGTAACTGGAATTGAGATAAAACATATGTCTCTATTTTTTATCAAATTATTTTTTGAAAAGAATGAGAATATATATATAATTTTAGCAGTCAAAAATTTTCATTTTGCATTGAAAGCAATAACAATTGACAGCTAAAATTACAAACAAAACTCTCGTGTGAATCCAATATTAGTCATAAATTTTAAATTGCGGTACTATTGATGCAAGGTAACAATATAGAACAACTACGATTATATCTGCATTCAAATGACTATAACTATTAGGAAAATATTAGGAAATTTCATTATTTCAAACATTTCTACGATTAAGAAAACTTATATATGCACAAATGATATTATTTAGAATGAAAGCTCACCATATACGAAGGTCCACTATCAGTGCCTGCATCCCAGGGATAAAGGTTATGAATTTTATTTTCTACCCATGAACAATTAGGTAAACAAAGTTCCAATCCAGAAACGCCTACAATCCAATCTGGAGACGGGTCAATCATTGAAACCAAGGATATCAGATGATGTTTAGAGTCTACACGAAAGACAGCAAAAGTTTTACCAGTTACGTTTGGATATGCTATTCCACGAGCTTTGATAATTGTACGTATCTGATCACTCTACAATATATCAGCGGTAAATTAAAATACAAATTTACTAAGATTTTTGCCTACTTGATCTTTAAGTTCACTTTCTAATGTTCTGGTTGAACCATGCTCTGCAACTTCTCTCAAACCCTCACTGGCTAAGTCACCATATTGCCAAAATCTATAATCAATCGTATGTGATGCACCAATTATATCACTGAAACGTGTACGCCAACTATTTGCTGGAAAATCTTTTGGATGTGTATGTCTAGACCATTTACCTTCAAAGGTTAGCTAATATAAATATTCCTTAAATTCACATATATGTATACCAAATAAATAACTAATTATATACTTCATATTTCGCCTCATCACAGGCACAACATGGGTGAACAATGCTTGGTTGACTATCAATATCATCGACCTCTTCTTCACATATGCGCTTAGTAAGAAATCCATCATCCATGAACCAAACATCACGATGCTGTGTGACCGTTGCACGTAATAGTATACAACCATTATCACTACCAGTGGGTGCCGTCCAGATAACATCGATACGAGTTTTAACATTTGTATTGGTATTTTCAACCAAATTAGCACAACGAGGACTAAATCGCGTTTCAGCAAAATCGATTATTTCAAACGAACCTTTATTATCCATAGTTTCAGTTTCGCCATTTTCGTTTTCTAAACCCAACATGAAGCTGATAAATGTTAGTCCATTATATGATATAAGTGAAACTGTAAAAGATATAATTATGGTAAAATATAACCAATGTCACAGTTAGTATGCCAAAATTATCTACTTACCATTATATTTTTGTCCTGGTATATATGTGTCTGGATTTCCTCCTAATGAAACAACATAATTTTCATCAACAGGTGATTTAGCTGCTGTTGTACCCTGTGGTATACGATTACAGGCCAATGCTATACTAAGAGTTGCCGATATAGAAATAAGAAGCAACAACCAATTCATGTTTAAATGAATCTTTTGATTGTAATCCAGTCGTGAAACTGTAAATATATAAAGTGATGTGTATATGTCAATGCAAAAGGTCTGATTATAAACTATCAGAATTTATTCATTTACAGTAATTCACTTATGCTAGTATTTTATTGTTTGATTGAATTTTTGTTTTCATGTTGAAAATGTGTTCATAAATGTTAAGAGCCGGGTTTCGTACTTTTTTATTTACATTAAACACATCTATTAGTTTCGATCTTTCGATCTTATCTTGAATATTTATGGTGATATCATTCCAAGAGTAATTAATTCCAAGAGCACGAAGCTCTTTTTTGACTGTTTGTCTCCAGATCATAGGGGCTCTTGGGTATTTGCATGTCAAATCTAGTTCTACTTACTCTGCCTTCTCTCTTGTGTAACAGGTTTTTGTTTCGTGTATGTCTAGAGGTCGATATTTAAAATACGATAGGGCCATCAGATTCGCAAAATACTTCTTATCGGTTTGCATAAACTTGGAGCCGGAATTGTAATAATTATGTTTTCATGTTTCACAGCCATAGAAAAGGACGGACTTGACATTAGAGTTAAAAATGTGAACAGATGTTAAATTGACTTGATTTCCATACAGGGTTCAGTTTAGGAAGGGGGTGCCTCGCTTTAGGAGTGCGAGAAGCGAAGGCTTCGTATACATTACATTTATGCTACTCAAGTAAGTTACGGATTCGACATACTTGATTCTCTCGTCATTTGCAGTTATAACTGCACCTGTAGATAGACCGTATCCGCTGCACATTACCTTTGTTTTTGACATATTAATCTCAAGACCAATGTTACGCGCATTAGTGCTGATTCTATTGATATTATTTAAAATAACTTATTTTGAAGATGTATCTGTGACTTAATAATAGAAAGTTTAATTACAAATTGTCATGGTACATCCACATGAATTACATGTTATGAGACCTCAGAGTACGATTAAGAATACGATTAGAAATTATTTATGTTTTTTTTTCATAAAAATTGTTTTCCTTTTTCATGCTTTCAAGAAGTAACTGTACTTCAGGTTATTGATAAAGTGTACCTTCAAAGAATTGTGTGTATAAATGTTAAAAAAAGGATATACGTATAAATATAGACTGATAAAAGACTACTTAACATTTTTCTTGTTACTTTTGTATTATATTTACTACTACTAGTTAATTATATGGCCCTGAATATATTGAATATGTAGCATATAGAGCATTCTAAACTTTTTGGAGAATTCATTTGTTATATCTATCTATATCAAAAAATAAAATGTGTATAGTGTACTTTGAAATTTTTGAAGAGAAAGTTTCTTGAATTTAATCAAGTTAACTAAAATACTTAAAATAATTTGAAGAAATCAAATTCATAATTTTTATTTCATTCTAATATATTTTTTAGAAGGTGAATTATTACGCTTTTAATGTTTAACTTGTTTTAAATTTATCGTTAATAAAAGTAATATTAAGAATTCAAGACTAAGTTTTGAATAATTTTAAAATTTTTGGAAGTGTTTTGTCATTTATTTATTTTTGATAAATCAATATGAGTTCATCAACACTGCGAAGTGGTACCGGCAGTGATGAACAAAAGAGTTTGAAGAGGAAATCTTCTAAAGGTAAAATATATATATAGTTATAAATATTGAAAAGTATTAAAAAAGGATGTAAAAAACTATTTAATTAATACTATTTAATTAATTTAATATAAACTATTTCATATTATTTAAAAGCACAATACAATGCTTTACATCTGCAGAGGTGCAGCACTGACAGCTTACACTTCGGTCAATAAATTTTAATTTTATATACATGTAAATATTTTTGATTCTGGTAAGTCTCTAACTTATCACACGATACAAATTCAGAACTAAAAGACACATAACAAAAGTAAGAAGGAACCAGTAACATCGAATGAAATATATACATAGAAGTACATACATAGAGTTAGTTATTTTGAGCAGTTTTTCGTAATATTCTTTGTGCTAGATATAGCTTAATTCTCAAGCTATCGAAGTTGAAGTAAGTCTGCGCCACTGAATGCAATATTTACATTGATTATAAAAATAACTGGTAGTAACAAATTAACTCGAAAACTAACCTATATAATCTGTATGTTGTAGAAGAGATGAAATTCGTTATCAAATAGCGTACCCAAGAAATCGGTATCGCGTCTTCAATATTACTATTGGTTTTAACATTTCGCAAATTTAATGACATGTTTTCTATTATTTTAAACTCTTTAAATTTATCGTGCTAGTTTTATTTATATATAAAAGTCTTCGCTGGAACAATCAAGTGCAACTAATATGGATTCCGGGACATGCTGGTATTCAAGGCAATGTAACGGCAGACAAACTTGCAAGAATAGGCGCAGCTTTAAAAATGATAGGCCCAGAACCATTCTGTGGTCTAGGCAAAGGAACTCTATCTATTTTTACGAATGATGCAGAGGGAAAAGAAAGAGAACTCTGTTGGGAAAGGTTACCAGGACTCTCACAATCTACAATGCTGTTAGGGACTTACAATCTAAAATGTTTCAAAGATTGCATAGCACAATCAAAAAACAACCTAGGAATTATTACGGGATTATTGACTGGTCACTGTAGATTGAATAATCACCTATCGAAGTTAAAAATTCAATCCAGCTCACACTGCAGACACTGTAGAGAAGAAATAGAAACTGCATGACATGTGCTTGGGGAGTGTCCGGCACTGATGCACAAGCGGAAGCAACAACTAGAAGGGTATTTCATGGATCATTAAGATAGGTTCTTTACTGTCTTTCATTAAAGAAATCGGACTTGGAGAAACACTCTAACCCGAGTAAGGGGCACAATAAATCTTTTAGGTCGCAGTGCACAATCCCTTCTTTTTAATAATAATAATAATAATAATATATAAAAGTCATATATTAGTAATCTGTTCAAAAATCATTTGAAATTTTTAAGAAAATATGTTTTATAAAGTCATGAACACTGATTTTTTTCTTTCAGAGTATATCTTTCTGATTCAACACATATATACAAGCATTTTATTCAGTTATTACAAAATTTATTATATAGGTTTTTTAATATAATATTTCGCTTATTTACCGAAAGTTGTTCTATCAAATCAAAACTGATAAAATAATAAGCATTACTTTGATTTTTAAACCATTTAGTTTTGTCTCATATTTTCACTTAAGAATTATTATATAAATTCATATTACACCAATAGTTTAATACGTTCCTTGATTATGTGACAAGTAATTTAAGAAACTTCCAAACTAATAGGTTAATTTGTTTCAATGGTGAGAGAGTTGCCTCTTCTATCCAATTAGCTCATAAATGCTATATGAGTTTATATTCATGAGTATTTAAGATTTAAATCCAACCCGCACGGTTGATAAAGTAAAGTAAGTACTCTAGGCTCATTAGTTTGAAGACCTCCAAAGAAAGTGTTTAGTTGTATATTTTTCTTCTTCTTTTTTCAAAACTATGTATGTGTTTCTTAAAGAAATATTTCTAAAGTAGAGAACTGATGTTCAGGATAAGGCACAACATGAAATACCATCATTGAATACAATGAGAAACAAATATTAGAATTATATGTAAATACACAATGTAAAACGCACAGCAAACTCTTACAAGTAAAGACGGAAAAGGATAATGATGCATATCATGAATTGAATAAATAAAGATTTAATATCCCATTTGACACGGAAAAGCTGGCAATTGAACTTAAATATCTGAGTATATTTCAACAAAGTTCTGTCGGATCGTAAGATCGATCTGATCAAAAGCGTAACCTGTTCAGCACTATAGTATCAGTACTTACAGATCACTGCGTACTAAGAAAACATGCTATGAGATTGAGTTTACCACACAATGACTTTTGACGAGGCAGTGACTCTGTGAATGAGGAGAAAATTCACACCGCCTAATGTGTCTATTTGTGAGCATCGTTGTCTAGAAAAAGATTTAAAAGATTGAGTTTACCCCACAATGATTTTTGACGGGGCAGTGATTCTGTGAATGAGGAGAAAATTCACACCACCTAATGTGTCTATTTGTGTGCATCATTGTCTAGAAAAAGATTTAAAATCTTTGGGATAATTTTTTTAATCAACAAGACAGATTGATCATCCTGCAAAATTCACTTTCACTTGAATGAGGGAATCTTTCAGGGTTGTTTGTACGCTGATCACTGCGGGTCTTTTAAGATTCCTTTTGGTCTGCGTATGAACAACACTAATCCATAGTATCATAACGGGCCCTTACTTGTGCCCAAGTAGGCCAAAGCCACCACTCCAGCCTAACCTAATCTAATCTAATCTAATCTAATCTAATAGGTAAAGGTATATGTTATATTTAAAAAAATTGTTCCCCTATATTATTGAGCCGATTCTAAAGAAAACGGAATTTAAGATCCGGTTTAAATTAGTTGTAATTAAAGTTTCTCAATAATTTGAGTTGTTTAGTTTTCATGTATTCGTTGTAAATATACATTACATAGTTTATATATAAAATAATTCACATGTAATTATGTTTCTTATACCTCTTACAGCATACAGTTCTATTTATTTGTTTTTTTAAATATATATATATATATAATTATAATTATAAGTATTATATATACTATGGTTTTCGTTATAAGCCTTTGTTTTTGTATTTAATATTGCAACAAATTTGTATTGTGTTTGTCATTGTTGTTAATATTCATATATTTATTTAAATAAGGAAACTATGCACTAACAATTTAATTGAAAACACGCAATTTTATTATTTTAATTGAATCGTCGGTCTCTTATCTGGCAAAGTACGCAGCCAACACTTTGAACTCATCTTTTAAATTTTACACTACAATTTAAAATTAATTCACAAGTTGTTGGGGGTTACTTTGTAGTTAAGCAATAATATAACACTACTATATAAGCACATAATCAATAAATTAACTGCAATCACCTATTTATAGAATAGAGAAATTGAATTGAATTGAAGGGATTTTAAATTAATTCACAGAATTTATATAATATCACTTATATTATTACTCGTACATATAAATTTCTCTAGGTATATGCTTTCACTTTATCCGCTATATATCACGTAGTGAAAGTAACTCACTTTTAAGGCTTCTGATAGAATTTTCCTTTCTAGAAGTACTTTTCGATGACGCTACTATTAATGAGATAAAAACTATTTGAAATTGATTGAAACTATATATTAGTTTCAAGTTCTTCCTGAAACAATTAATCTATTTATTTAGTGCATTCGAAACTATTTGATTATTTAATTTCTAATTCCGCACACTATCCGCAACGTTTGTCGATTAACTCACAACTGAAATGCATTTGAAACGGTGTGCGATTTTTGTATGAAAAGATAATGATTGAAAGTAAAAAATTGAAACAAAATGGAATAAGTGCAGTGCACTCAGAGCATAAATACTTTACAGATGTTAAAAAACATTTTTTATTTATTAATATTTATAGTATTTTATGAACTAATTGTACTAATATGCAGGCATAAATAACAGTTTTATCAAAAAATTTTACAAAAAAAGCACCAATAAAAAATTATCTAAACTCCTATTTAAGTATATAGTTATCATTCTAAAAAGTCTCATCCTTAATTTTAAAATAAAACTCAAAATATAATTAATTTTGCTTTATATTATATTTTTCAAAAATAATTATCATGTGCCACGCACAAATTACTCTTACACTCTGCTTTTTATTTTAAAACGCACAAATAACTGTTATTTTTGACTTAAAAATATAAAAATCAGAAATAACTTTTATTTTTGAAAACAAAATATAATTCACACGGCGTGCCTAATATTTTATTTTTAAAAACGAAAATATAAAACGCGCTTTACATGTAAAATATTTATTTTTGTAATTTCATCCAATATGTTTATAGAGTTATTTGTGCGTTTTATAACAAAAAGTAGAGTGTAAGATTTATTTGAAAAATATAATATAAAGCAAATTAAATTATTATTTTTTTAATTATACTTTAATATTTCTTTAATGATAACTGTTAAGATTCCTGCTAATAGAAATAAAAAGTATTTATATTTCAAGATTAAATATTAGACAAATCCAATCTTTAAGATATGTATGTATATAAGTCAGGGGGTTATTACAGAATTTAAGATATTTCGAGAGGAAAATAATGCTATCGGGTAAAATGCCTAATGCTAATAGAAGTTACAGATAAAGAAGTTAGGATAATGTTCGCTAACGGAACTGTGGTTATAATTATTATAATTAAGATATGAATGACTTTTCTTTTAAGAGCCCAGATGTTATTCCTCAAATGGAAAAAAATAGGTGAATGAGTTACCTACAGCAAATTTTTCACCAATACACAAATTTTACCTAGGGTTCTGGGTATACTATTGAGATTTGAATGAAGTATTTGACATAGGTGTTGAAGATTTGATTATACATCAGCTCAAAATATTTAAATATGTCAACAAACTCGAAAAATGAGTTGTCATTAAATGCACAGACAAACTACAAGTGAGAAAATAGTGAAGGTTCTCACGTAATGTTAATGGTAGCAAATAAAAGCGAACACCGGAATTTAATTTTTTTTATTAAAATATTACAATAAATTAGGAAATAGTTATTAAATCTTTATTGCCGATAGAATAAATAGAAGACATTTAACATATAGCTATAAAGTTAAGTATATCTTAAGATTATTTATGGAATCACATTTTAGGAAAATTAAGTTTAATGTAGATAAGAAAAGTAAATAAAGACCATGAATGACAACCTTTTAGAAATATTGGCAACAATAGGACTAATACAGAACAGTAGTAGACTGAAAGAAATTCTATGTTTACTTATGGCATAATCTTTTAGGAAAATTAGGCCACATGTAAGTGAAAAAAGAAAATGGAGCCTTGATTTAGTGTTAAGAAATACCGGCTAGGTTGGGATTAACATAAGACATTGGTGAAAAAATTTTTAATGTGAAAGACCTATTGTAGAGTAATTGGAGAATAGAACCCAAAAATAAGTTTCGGGTGCAACACTCGATCTGTCAAATATCACTGCAGCATGAAGATTAATAGGTGACCAGTACCAGTTAGAAAGTCATAAAGACTAATAGATATAAAGGCTATATCTTATTAAAGTGGGTAGAAATTGTCAACAGTCATTGTTATGTTTCTGATGCCTAACAGAAAATTAGACAATAAAAGATTATCAGAATAAAAAACTCAGTTTATCTTTTATTAAGGTTTCAGTGTAGAGAACAGCAGGAAAACAACAGCAGGTTGGGTCTTAAGCTTACCGAAATTATCGAGAAACATAAATTCAACACTATCTAATAAGAGTAATATTATATGCAAAACTAAAACTATTTAAAGAAAGTAAATAGTCTTCTTAGAATCCATAAACTCTGAAGTACAAAGATAGAATGATAAAAAACAAAATTAAAGTTGGTGTGCCCCATTTTTTATCGGTTTTATCGGTTTTCTTTCGAAATCTTCATTATGCAATAAATCTATTTTTTGATCTTAGCCAGCTACTGTAATTGAAATATAACAACAATCAATATTTTTTAAATCTTTTAGTTTTACAAGTATTTATATTAGTTATATATATAAGAAAATATAATTTGTTTTTAAATTTAGCTTCAAAATTACACGAAATGGATACTTCCTCATCTGTAGAAAAAGACCAGTCTACTGGTAAATAAGTATATGTGAATTTACTCTACATATAAATAATTTTTTGGTTTTAATTAGGAACTGATCAGCAAACTCCCAATTCAATTTTCGAAACTTCAGATCAAACAAAATCATCAAGTACGCAAAATTTAGCCTCATCTCGAACACTTACTGCATTCGATACATTAGATAGTCCTAGGACTGTTTCCAAACCAAAGGTAACATTTTTTAAGTTATTAACATCTCTGTATTGTTTTTTTTATTTAGTGGCCAAAAAAACCTCAATTAAGCGTCACTGCAAAGATTACAGAGGTACGAATTAATGACATATTTATTTACAAAATATATAAATTTTTCTTTTGTGACTGTTTTAGACAACGCCGATGCAACAGAAAAAGAATCTATTTACTGGCAGAGCTACTAAAAAAGCTGCTGCTACAAGTAATATACCTATTTTATCCAAGCCGCGTAATGTAAAAAAGCCTGAAACAAAGCTTCCAAAATATCAACGGCCTATCAAAAATTCTGCTAGAATGTTACCATCGGCTAAAGGTTTGATTGGAACAGTAGTACCGCAAAAAACTGGTAAGTTGCATTAATTTCAAAATGATACCTACTCTTTTGTTTTACTTTTCCTAATAACTATTTAGTTACGTTTGACAGAATAATAGTATATTTTTTATATTCTTAAAGGGACTAACAAGAATCTGTATCTAATAAGCGATTTGTAGCGATTTAGTATCTAATTTTATAATTATCTGTAAAGATCTTGTGATTACATCTATTAAGAGAAAAAATTCTTTCAAAATTTAATCTGCTAGTTTTACGAATATTTTTCGCTTATAAGAATCGTAATATATAAGATCATTAAATAATCTATAAAGATCTTAGATTCATATCTTTTCTCTTTTTTTCAAAAATGTTGCTCATTCATTATTTTTTTGAAGAAATTTATCAATAAAACATTGCATACTTTCATGGGCTGGTGCATTTTACTGAATTTTAACGTAGCATCCATTTTGTGATTTATATTTGGTACCACTGTTTCAGTGATATATTTGAAACAGAAATTCCAGACATCGTATACTTAATTTAAAGTATGTATAATTTAAAGTAAAGTATTTTACAATATGAATCATTTATCAACTGATGATGTTTTAAAATTGTAAAAAATTATTATAAAAATGGTGTTTCCCTTTACATTTCACATCTCATTTTCTTCATTGATGAAACGCGTTATTCAATTCCAAGATATACCATCAAACCAAATTGTCATATCTGAGGCATTGAAAATTCACAAGTAACTATTGAAACAACATTGCAGTCACAAATCTACACTGAACAATGTAGCATTTGGTCTAGAGGTGTTATAGCCTCATACTTTCATGAAAACAGTTTTTGGCGTTAATTAAAGGAAGATGTGAAAAATATGTTATTTTAATATAAAAGTTCCATAAGTTCCTTATTGTTCTTAATTGAATTTATTGTTTGAAGAAATTTATAGGACACGTACCTAATTTTTTATTTTGCTGATGTCAATTGCGAATCGAGTTCACACTGGTTAATTGTTTTGAGGTTATGTAAAAATTATTATTTATTCAGACAATCCTCAACCACATAACATCTGAAAGACAAACATCCATTATGCACCTGTATTAAGTCCAGTACTATAATACGTTGCGTGAAGTACTCGAATCTTTTAATATTATATAGAGTCACAAAATGGATAAATCTTTGTTTTTATATATATACTCAAATAAATACTATTAATATATAAAAAATTAATCATAAATTTTAAACTTTTTATTGATATAATAAAAAAAATTCATAATTTTACATTAGACAATAAAGTAGATGATTCAACTTCACTAAAAAGCCAATTTTCGAATTCGTTGTTAACAACAAACAAGAATGGATGTATAACCGTAGGTGACAGTGAAATTGTAGGACTAACTGCACGTGAACGTGTGCTGGAGAAAAATAAATTAACCGTATTCGAAGTTTTGCAGAAAAAATTGGAATCATTGCAGTCTGAGTTTATGCAAAAATTCTCAACATTGAAAAAAGTTTCACCAGATAAACTCAAGGCGGATTACAAATTTGTTACAATGGTTAAAAATGACGAGGGTCGATTGATCGTCTCGCCAAGTGATTTAATAAATATGCCAAAACTTCGTGAGTATGATATTTATATCTACTATATCTATGGTTCGTTTCCGATTTTCCGTGCGCTCCTCAACGAATTACAATAGAGTTAGCAATTGTGAAGAACTTTACAACTTTTTCCACTACACTGCACTATATACCGATTTACCTAACTTACTTTTAGCGATCTTGAACTTTTATTTTTTTTACCCTCGCAAAAGTTGATGTCTGGGAAGTGGGAATCGTGCCATATATATTATATTAATGTGAAATTTATTAGTAATTTTTTTTTATGAAAGCCGTGGAATCTATAAACGACATAAAGCAAAAAATGAAGGAAACATCTAATGCATGTTTAATGTATCTTATTGATGTTTTAAAAAGTGTTCGAAATAAAAGCAGTGATGATCGAGAAATTATTTTGGAGGATGCATACAATGCTTTGGAAGACAAACAGGTATTTATTTATTAGGCTATAAATGCAATAAAATTTATATTTCCTTTAAAAACGCTATAGGTTGTAATAAAAATATGTTATAAATAAAAAATATTATTGATTTTATAAAAAAATTATAAATAAATAAATTATTATTTAATACATAGTTAACTAATATGCTTAATATAATTTTTGAAAATATTTTCTTCAGGATGAACGCATTGAAAAATTGTTTGAACATTTTCAAAAATACCTTGATAAAAAAGCTGTCGATTATGTATCCATTAATGAGAGGTTACAGAAAGAAATTAGGGTTAATAATTACAATTGAATTAGAAAATATTTGACATTTATAAGTGATATATTTATAGGATACAAAAAGGAATTTGGAAGCTACTGAAAATGAACTCAAGAAGGTGAAAAGTTCACAGGAGGCAAAAATAAATGAGCTTGAAGTGATTGTAGACAAACAAAAGGAAGAGCTCGAAAGTCTTGAAGCTGAATTGGATGAAAAATCTGATAAAATATTTGAGGTATTAATACATACTTGACTTGCCCTTGTTCAATATTCGATCATATGAAAATAATGTTTCTTTAATTAATATTTTATTTAGTTTGATATAGTTTTAATTTTTATTAATTTCCAAGCATACATATTAACAATTTAACTCTACATATGACCACATACAATTGTCCATGCTTAAAACGGTCCTTATTAACAAAACACCAACTTTGTGAAACTGTAAGTCCTTATAACACAATTTTTAATTAATATTTGATGTTACCCATGGACTACTGGTATAGGTCACCCTTTTACGAAGGGAATACCTTCAAACCTCATTAGCTCCGATTAGCTGATTAGTGTGAGGCAATTGATTAAGAAACTTTCTTTTTAAAATAATGCCATCCTGAATATTTCAATTTTTAGCTAAAATTTAATTATAAATCCTAATCCAGAATTAATTAAATTTTATTTATGGTAATGAGGATCTCATGCGTATATAACATATTTTATGTGAGGAGTACAATAAATTAATATTTTAAAGCTATTTTTAAAAATAATGCTATTTAAATTATTCATTTTTTTAATAATGTATTTTACAAATATTTTGGTTTTTAAGTAAAATTATATGACAAATCCAAATCAGAAATAAAAGAAATTTTTAATGCATAATATAAAAAAAAAATTGTTTATATTAACAGTTACCATTAGTGTTAAAATAAAAACAATTTCGATTATTTAATCTATTTGAAAAATATTCAATTAAATATATATTTAAAATAAGAAGATACTGAAATATGACTATATAAAACTACTCGAAGATGAATATTCTCAAACCGTGGTCCATGTTAATAGGAAAAAAATGTTAAAAGTTTTTTCTTGAAATAGTTTTTCGAAAAGTAGTGAACTAGAACAACAAAAATTCTTTTATATTATTTTTAATTAATTGCATTTTTGGATGACCATACAGCTGTTTTGAGTATTGCTCTATACCCATCATCAGTGGTCTTAGAAATAATACTTGTCTTTAATTATTCGTAAAAAATTTTTTGTGACTGCAAGTACTAGGGATTGAACTTGTGTTCTGCCAAATTTGAAGCTCAGAGTCAGCGTTCATTAGTCAACTGACCCAAAGTCGTAATTGACTTTTATGTTCGCATATATATTTTAACCCAAAAAATTTTAACTTTATTTTTAAAGATAACTTCTTGTATCGAAAAAATTGAAATTGAAAATGAAGACTTGAAATTAAAAATTAAAGAATATAGCGAAGCAAGTGATCCGATGGAATCGAAATATATATCAGAAATTAAAACCTATAAAGAAAAGTATGTAATATTGTCAGGAATATATTTTACTAAATAATATTTTTATAATTTTGTGATATATTTCTATTTGCTTATATTGTTATTCTCACCCAATGAAATAAATTCATCGATATGAAGTATTTTCAACTGAAATGATTATGAGACGTGATCAAAAAGTAACAAGAATTTTGATATTGTATATGGTGTATATTGTTTATTGAATGTTTATGTTTCTTTGCTTATGTTTTAGTTACATTGCAAAGTAACTTACGAGGTAACTATGGTATGCAGCAGCTGCAATACTTAATTTGTGCTTACCAATTGAAAGAGGAATACGTTATTAGTATGTTTGGGGATTTAATGTAATAAAATACAGTATTAGAGATTTTTTATAAAATTTTGTGTTACGAATTAAATTAAGTGATATCCCTTTTCGTAACTACTGATTTTTTCTTTGCTAATCCCATAAGTTATGATGCAACATAATATCACTGCAATGAAGCAATCACACTATTCAGATATGGTACCTTGAAATTTTTATTAATTTTCCAAACCTGAGAAGGTACCAAAATGACAATGTATTATTAACAATAGATGTAATAAGGGCAAAATTACAAAGCGAGGTCAAAACATTACCTAAAGAAACTTCTTAATAATATTTTTCAATTGTGGCAGATTATCAATGAGTAGCCTTTGAAGGAGACTTCGAAAGGATTAAATATAATATAATAATAATATAAAATAATTTTAAATAAAATTTAAAATTCTTGAAACTTTTTGATTACGCCTTGCCTATATTAATAATTTTTAGATTATACGTAGTATATGAATACTAATTTTACTATAGAATTGAAGCTTTGACTAAAAAAAAGAGAGATATTGAGGAAAAATTTTCACAATTAGCTGATGAAAGAGATGAAATAGCTGAGAAATTTCGTAAAGTTAGTGACGATGTATACACCGCCAAAATAAAATTGGAAGAATTTAAAAAGAAAGCTAATAATGATTTAGAGCGCTCCAAACATAAATATGAAGAAAATCAGCACAAATTCGAAATGGAGTTAGAAGCAGCAAAAAGGGAATTGGAAAGGAGTCGACACAAATCACAATCTGATCTTAGTACATCGAAAGAAAAATTGGAAACTATTCTCCAAAAAACTCAAACACAATTGAAATTCACGCAGGAAATGTTGGACGAAACCCGTCTTAAAGCTGAGGAGGAATTAACTAACACGAGAAATGAATACGAGGCAAATCAACTAAAACTTCAATCTGATTTGTCGGAATGTAAAAAGAAATTAAAAGCAACTGAAAAGAAGTCGAAATCTGATTTGACAGCATTGCAAGATCAATTAAAGTCTCAACAAATGACTGATGCTGATCCAAATGAAGACCGTTTAAAGTTCTACATGTTAGAATTAGAGGCACAAAAAGCCAAATGTGAGACTTTAAAACAAGAAAAGAAGGCTATATGTATTGATATGTCTTGTATTCAAGAGGTAAACGTAGAGCTTTTGAAATCTGCAACTAACATAAACAAGCATAAATCTATAATATTTATTTTACAATTTTAGGAATTCAAAGATTCGAAGAAAATGCTTCTGAATGCTGAGAATAAAATAAGGTAAATGATTAATATGATAATATTTTTTTTAAATATTTATACCTAAATTCTTTTCGTAGAGAACTAACTGATGCTTTAGATTATCAAACGAATATTGCTCAACATGCTTTACCTATGAGATCAGACGACTACGAGGAGGTAAGTTTTTTTTAACAAATATATAGAATTTACTCGGATTATTATATATAGGAATTTTATATGTATATTTAAATATAATATAAGGGAGAATATATACTGTAAATAATTAACAACTTAATGCAAACCCTGCCTCTATATTGATAATAGCAATAGCATCCTCGACGCTGCTTTGTGTTAATATTGACATATGCTAGGTTGGTATTGATACCACTCTCTTTTTTGCTGACATCTGATTATTAACATATTTGCTAATTGTGCCAAGCCAAATAAAGATGAAGATGGAAAATAAGTAATATTTTTCGAGGATTTCTTGTTAAATTTGCCCGTAATTTCGTTTTTGTAGTTTCGGTTAGGATTTATAGATAGAATCATCGATTGAAGTACGTATATTGGTAGGATTTCAACGGATTAGTTGATAAGATTTTGTAAGGTGTTAATTTCGTCTATACATGAACTATTGCTAAGAAAACCAGTTTGTTTTCTATATGCTTTTAAATATATATTTATAGAGAGCATATTGCAAAAATGGGATAATAACATCAAAGATGATTATATAAATTAAATTATATAAATATATATACATGTTTTTCAGTATATATTTATAGAGAGTATATTCCAACCATGGGTAATAACAACAAAGATGAATATCTTGAAGTTTGCAATAGTAATAATATATGTATATAAAATCAATTTTTTTTAACTTAAATATAAAAAAAACAACCTAGTTTCTTTTGCTTTATCATAGTAATATCTTGAAATGTGATTAAAATGTTAAATCAAAAATAATAATAATAAAATATATTATTTTAAAGTTAATGTCATTAAGAGAAGCTGAAAAGAAAAAGAAAATTGAAATCGAAACTCTTCGCAATAAAATTAATGCAATTTACAAAGGTGAACCAATGGTTGAAAGTCAAGGCGATTATGACTTCACATCACAAAACAGTACTGGTGCAGATTGCAAATTAGTAGCATCTCTTGGAGAACAGAATACAAAAATTTGTAAGGTAAGAAAGCATGTTTCATAAAAACATACTTGCTCGTATATAAAAATAAAATCTGTCCAAAAATTGCAGTTAAATAAAAAATTAGTTGAAAGAGATGAAGAATACAAGAGTCTTTTCAAAACTTTAAATCACAAGCAAGTAGATGTGGTTCGTTACGAGCATATGATTAGATTATTGGTTAACAATAACGAACGTAGTCAAATGTTACGGGTTAGGATGGAGGAAAAACTGGCTTCTATGGAAGATGAGATTCGCCATTTACAGCAAACTATGTAAATACTCTTTATTTACTAAATATTTAAATATAATATATAAATATTCTTTTTCATTTAGACGAATTTACCAGCAGCATATTGTTAAAATGATATAAATCACACCTCAGTTAAATCTATCAAGTAGCAAGGTATATGTAAGGAAAAAATTATAAAAAACACTCAATAGAAAGGGTAAGAAAAATATGTCTAAATATATCTAAAACGTATTATATATGAATATTTTAGATTTACTTCGAAATTGGAATTGGTGATTATGTTTATATTGATGAGAAGTTTCCATATGAGAATCAAAATTATAAAGGTTTTTAATAATTGTCCATGTTTTGTTTTATCGAATAAGTGAAATTATTTATTTTGTAATTATTTTGTTATTAAAACTGAACGAATATTATATACATAAGAAAAGAAAACAAAAAAAAAAACCAAAAAAATAAATCAAACATGGATAAAATTTAATATTTTTTATTTTTAACAAAAACTTAAAAAAAGTATTTGGAACAGTAGAACCTGTGCCTACTACATGCTTTGTTCACCAAACCCATCATCCAATAATGTAAAACAAATTTTTTCCCGTCTTCTGTTTTATATTACTTCGATTCGGCATATACTGCATATTTGTAGAATGTTACATATCCGAAGGTTTCAAAGCTTTGGAAGCTGTATCTAATACAGTGATGAACGACAAACAAGACTACGTACGACCTTATTTTAATACACTATAGTTAATTGGTTAAACTAAAAGCAGAGTTTTGGTTTCAATATACAATATTATCTCACAAGAATCATATAAATACCTGCTTTGAATTCACATACTTTATATTTTTGCGTATAAGTACTTATGATGTCTGTCAAGATGTTTGCAAGCATAAGAAAATCGTTGGCAATTATATAAACTATATATATCCTTACTTAGTACGTTAAGATAAATTTAACAACCTCTCCCTCTGTGTGATGTATCTACAATATATACGTTCATGGGCTACAAAGTTTTTACTTCTTAAGCTAATCGAATGAAACTTTAGTTTCTGAGAGTATTCATAAATTAAAATGACAAATGGACGCCTATACATAATTAGCGGTAGAAACAGGCGTACGTATAATATTTTTTTTTTATTATAAACACAACTAGAACAATAGTTTTATTAAATAATTGCATTTTTAGATTTACCCTTATATAAATCTTAGTGGAATATGGGCCTAGAGAACTCTAACGAACAATTGAATAATAGCATTTCTGGATTTTCTTTGACAAATGGATAGCATTATATGACCTTCATTATATGACGCCTATACATAATTAGTGATAGAAACAGGCGTATGTATAATATTTTTTTTTTATTATAAACACAACTAGAACAATAGTTTTATTAAATAATTGCATTTCTAGATTTACCCTTAGATAAACCTAAGTAGAATATGGACCTAGAGGACTCTAACGAACAATTGAATAATAGCATTTTCTTTGAGATTAACGGAAGATATATTAAAAACAGAATTTTCTTTTTATGTGTTTTGCTGGACAGTCTAAACTCACCCATATATTCGCCCATGTTCAGTTGTATGAAGGAGGTGATAATGATCGTCCCGGTTTACGATCATTATTACTTTGGATACACTTTTAGGAAAAAGGCTCTGACTCTTATTCTTTCTTTGAGTACGCCCATAGGACACATTGGCTATGCTCAGGTTCCTTATATATGTGTAATTAATTTGTGGGATAGTTATTTATATAACGTATTAAGACAAGCTTTCTGACAAAAGCTCGTTTCGTTGCTTTATTAGTTGACAGGCAAAAACAACCTCACATAGAAATTTTTTCTATCTCGTCGTTATATAGCATTCCAAATGAGTTAATCTCTCTTCTGTAATAGATATAGGTAATCGATTTTTTGCAAGATTTTAAGTACATTCATTAACAACAAATTATTTCTAATTTGAAATCACTAAGATTGTGAATATTTTTGTCTACACTTCGAATTAAGTGAGTATTCTGCAAATACGAAATACACATTAACGTTAATATTGCTTTGAAGTTTTTATATAAATATATTTGTATAGATGCATATGTACCATTTTCTTCTTTAATATTAAATGGCATAACTTGATAATGAAAAGGGTCCAATTATGATTCAGATTTCCAACTGTGAAAGTAGAGCAACCAATTAGTGGAATTGTGTACATGGGCAATATAATAATAATCGGGTACAATGGTCACCATAAATAATTTAACAGCGGACACTTGAAAAAGATATTTAATTAATAATAATAATTAAAATTTTTTGTAATTTTTTTTTAATTTGTATGTTTTGAGCTTTTCGATATTAAACATAAATTAAAAACAAGTAATATGTTAAAGTTATTTAAATATTATTTAATACTTTATATGATATTATTTTAATTTTTATTTACATATATAAAAACAAACGTGTGCATATTTAATTATTTTAAAGTGACAAAATACAATTTTTTTTTTTTTATTTTTCTTTAAAAATTGTTGAAAAGTATAAGTAGTATTTGTCCAAAATTTAACAGCATCTATTTGCTAAGATTTAGATACAAAAGATACACTTAGCTGTTATAATAATTATCAAAATGTGAAGTAAATATTTCATTTGGATAAGAATTCCATAAACTTTGATAAGCAATAGAAAAAGAGCTATAAAAGATAGTTAAGTACATTATAATTATTTTTTAAAAAGGTACATACAAGATAGTAATAGACGTGAAAGATACTAATATTAAATAAGCATGTAACATAAACTGAGAGTTTTTTATAGTTAAACGAAACCATAAAGGTCAAGAAAAAATTGCATATTGATAAAATTACAACAAAAATATTGTAGGAGCACGACTTCATATTATTGTTAACAACCAGGTAAATGATTTACTTCTGTGCACTTGTTAACATATTAAGACATTGACACTATATAACAAGAGAGACCCCCCTTTTCAGTACCGGCGAATTTTTGAACAATGGCGCTAAGCTGTTCGCTATCATCATTTACCATGGAATATATAAAATGCTTTGGCTCAGATTTATGTATTTGATTTACATATAAAATAATCTGAGTAATTTCAATTAAGCTATCTGAGATTTTAATGAATTGTCAGTAACATTAAAATTAGTCGGCAAATAAAATTGAAAGCGTAAAGTAGTTCAGAACGGAATTTAAAAAAGTCAACAAATCAGAAATTAAAAGCGCACCGAACACTGCGAGGATTTTCAATTTAATTACAGTGAACAATAATTAATATTGATTGTGAGTTTGAAGTGAATTTCATATAATTTAAAACTAATTAAAAATAAATATTTTATAAACCAATAAAAAATTATAAATATATTCATTTGAGTAAAGGATAATTGTTTTTATACTTCAAAGAAATAGTCTTCCTGTATAAATTTTGTTTTTAATTAAAAAATTAAAATTATATTTACTTTTATAAATAAAGTGATTAAAAAATTAATATACATAAATATTACATATACATAATTAATTAATTATTTAGTTTTTTATGTAATATCTCAATACTCCTGCAAAAATATTTATAACCCATAAATCAATATTATAAATAAAAAATAATAAAGTTAAAAAACAAATTAATATGTATTTAATGTTGGTTTTTGAATATATATATAATTAATTGATTTCTTTTTGTGTTTTCTCTGCACTTCTGCAAAAATTATAAAAAAAAAAAAATAAAAATAAATAAAAAATGAATGCATAGTTAAAGATAGTTTACATATAGTTAGATATAATTAATTAATTAATCTATTAATTAATTCTTTATGTGATTTCTCAGTACTCCTGCTAAACTATATTTATAATTAATAAATTAAAATTATAAAAAAACTAATAAAAGTAATTAAAAAATTAATGCATATTTAATGTTAATTTATGAATGCATGTACATTAATTAATTAGTTTGTCTAGTTTGTGCTGTCTTAGCATTCTTTCAAAAATTTTATTTTTAGTTATTTTTTTATTTTTTTATTTTTTTTTATTAGTAGTTTTTATTTTATTAAAAAAAACATTTTTATACAGTTATGTGTTAAATAAACGACCTAAGCCCGGTAAAAAATATAAAAACTAAATATTTTCAGTTAAGAAATTATAACAAATAAAAAATAAAAGTAAATTCATGTATATATTTAATTTGAATATATGTCATATATTATCATGTATTATTTAAATATGTATAATATATAATTTATATTAATGTAAAATCTATTTGTCGTGGTTTGATTTTTCGATTTGATCAAAATATACATATTTATTAAAATTTTTTATTTTTATAATTTTATAACTATAATAAATGAAATATATAATAATATTTCGAGTTAAATAAATTAAAGTAAGTTACTTTTATTTACTTTTAAGTCGAAACATAAATATATAAATAAATAAATAAATAAATAATTGTAAAAAAATAAATAAATAAATAAATTGTAAAAAAATAATTTTGAAATGACAAATAATATAAAAATTTTTTTTATTATATATTATTATAATTTTATAATTATAATAAATGATATATATAATAATATTTCGAGTTACATAAAGTAAAGTAAGTTGTTTTTATTTACTTTTAAGACGAAATATAGATAAATAAATAAATAAATAATTTGTAAAAAATTAATTATGAAATAAAAATAGTATAAAAATTTTATTTTTATTACATATATTTTAATTAAATATAAAAATATTAATATAAGATAATTAATGTTAATATATATAGGATTAAAGTGGAAATAAGTATAACAAACATTGAGCCTCATTTCTTCTATATGTAGAGAAAAATCGTAAAATATGTAATAGAAGGGTTTTTAATACGAAATTTAGATGAATTATAAGTAAAATTTTTAACAAGAGTTAATTAAATATATAGAATATTTTTTATATGGTAATATGAAATTATGTTAGAACTGTAAGATTCCAGTTTTTGTTATCAAATAAAATTCATCATGTAAGAAAAGAAACCTTATCAAAGTACATCTACAAGTTTAGTGTTGAGAGTATAATTTCTACTTTAAAATATGCCCGATACTTAAATTATTCAGCCAAGAAATTTCTTTAAAGTCAGGAGCTAACAGAATTAAAAATGTATATGGTGAAAATTTAGTCCGGAAGTAGCCCTAAGAAAAAATATCATAATTTCTCTGGAAACGGCTGTATATGGTCCAAGTTAAACGTAAAATTAAAATTCGTATTATTTTTATGTTCAGAGCATTAAACTGCCTATTTACTTTCCTATTACATACTGAGCTAAATTTCATAATACCACTGAGATAATGAGAACGAATATTGTTAATATCAAAAAATGTAAAAAATTTTAGATATGAGAGATAAAAGTTCTGCGTGTAGTATATATTCAAGGAAACAACTAAAATATGTTCTTCTTTTGAGTACTGGATATCGTGTAGCTACCGTATCAGAAAAAGAAAAACATAAATTTAATGTTTCATTTTGTCATTTAATAAAAGTGGTATATCATTTTTGAACACAATAAAGCAGATGCAGATCTGAGGTCAATTATTGCTTAGTCTGATGAAGTGATGAAGAATAATCCAGTCAAGGCGTAAAGAGGTGTTTTAAAAATACCTCGAGTTAAGAAAGAGTAAAAGTGCTCAAGTGCACTGACTCAAATAGAAATAAATAAATAATAAAATTAAGAAAAATTTACCCAAGATGGATTTAAAATCTGAAATCTCCATCATTGGGATAACTTTACTTCAACTTCTTACATTACAGCGAAATGTGACAACTGATTTTACGTTATATATGTACATTGTAAATTGAGTGATATAACTACATCATAAGTAAGCCCGATTTGTGAAGAAAACGTTTTTAATGTCCAACTTAATTGCATGAATATTTAATTATTTCTTTATGAATAATTTATCTACATTCATTAACATACTCTAAAACACGCCTCATATACGATTGTGTTCTAAGAGGACATCATTACTTACAATCGGGATTACTTTAGTAAATAGTTAATGATTGAGTGTTTTACTTGTCATTTTCGGGCTTAACATATCTTAATAATTTAATTTTAATATATTTTTTCCAATTAACAAATAAATGTTGGAAGTTGTTGATTAGTATAATCTATTTTATGTTAACTAGTATCATCCAGATTTATATTAATTTATTTTCTCTTTCACAGTTTGCAATAAATTTATTACCTTTAAAATATGTACACATATCTATATATATATATATGTATATATATATATATATGTAATTTGTTTTTTCAAAACAATAATTGATGCGTTACAGACAAAGTTGATATAAATATTGCGACTGATATATGGTATAATTTTAGCTTTTAGAGTAATGCACTTAAGGCAATATTCGCGGTAGATTGCGTGAAGACGAGACATTCTTTAATAAATCTAAACACAAGGCCACTAACATATGGATAGATGTATTGCATATCAATGAACGTGCCAATATATATGCTTTACTATATTTATATATTTATTTGTAGATATTACTACGGCAAAGTACGTTTACGATTTTAAAACATTGAACTCTCAGAAGATTTAAAATTTTATTATCAATTTTAAAAACATTTATAATTAACAGAAACATGATAAGGCTAAAGATCATCATATATAATTATATTATTTAATTTTAATTAATTAGTAAATTATTTACAGTTATTGATATGTGTAAAAAAACGCAATTATGTTTATGAAATAATGAATAAAATCCTATTTAAAAAATAAGATATAAAAGTTATACTAAGAATGGATAACAAAGTTCTAAACAGTAAAAATTGGATAGTTACTCAAACAATAAAAACTCTATACTCCACAAAATTACACTTTTATTACTGGCTATACATAATTGGATTTCAATTGCAAAACTAATGAAAGAATAACAAAATATTTGAATATATTAAGAATTTTATTATTTTATCCTATTTATGTATTAATTTTATCATTTTACCATTCTTAAACTTCTAAATAAAATCAATTTTTAATGTAAGCTTTTCTATTTACGCTGAGAGATAAGTAGTCTTTTTAGGATTTTATAGTTACTAAAAAATGTTCAAAAGACGAAACCAATATCACATTCAATGCTATTATATTTTAACTATATATTTTGGTCCAACAAACTAATGATAAGAGACGTGAGTCTTTAACTATTAGAGACTTAGATCGTCCTTCGCCAGTAATTAGCATTAGTAGATGCTATATCATTTGGTGTTTAATAGAAAAAAGGAATATATCACATGTTGGTTTTCATATCTTCTTTACCAAATGACATAAAAATTCTAACAAAATTATCAGGTCAATTTAACTTGTATATGGTTAAAGCATATTTTTCTGAGTGTATAACGATAGTATATACTACCGTATCGTTGTACAAAACGGCATTACTAAAAAAATCACTGAATTATAAAATATTTAACTAAAACACGATTATTGGTTATAAATTATACTACGGTCAGGAGTCGTAATAAATACGTAAAATTTCTATTAACAGAATCCTCGAGAATCATTAATTTTTATCATTCTTCAAAAATTAAATTTAAGGTGGCACTCTTCAACTCTTGGTTGAATTGAATTTTCGACACAGGAAATTTGATATTGCGTAGTAAAATTAATAGACGTTTGGCCAGCAATTTTTATACTACTTATAGAATTATGTATCTTTGCATTCTTTCGCAGTCGACAAAATTTTAATTCAATATGTTTTTAAAAGGCATTTATTTGGTTCATCAACTAATGAATAACTGACTTTGTAAAAATAATAATTCCGGTTTGTTTATCTTTGAAACACTGCTTAACAGCTATTCTGTTCGTAAGGTAGATCTAGTCCGTACTGACTCTGATAAACTTTAATTTAGCTTCGAGTACATGCCAGATTTCTTTAATTGCACTTTATTACTTAATTATATAGCTGCTTTATTATCGTCATGTGATGTCTTCTTTCGACTATAAGACAATTCAGATAAAAATTATATACTTGTATAAGGTATAGTATAGCAGTTATAAATTATAATTACAAAATCAGTTTAAACCACTGACATGAACTAAGTTATTTTATTTATTTAATTGTATCTGCATAATATTAATTTCTAACACAATATATGATATATGACATCGCATCTAAACTGAAAATGGTTTTTCTTCTGTTTAGGAATATTTCCATAAATACCTACTTTGCTATTTAAAAAGTAGTAAAGTACATATATAATATATATGTTCTCAATAAATAATATGCAAATTATATTTAGGAAAAGTGAAAGAAGATTCTGTATAGTTTTATTAAAAATCTAATCTTGAATTTAACATTATCATAGCATCACCCTCTTATTTAAGTAATTTATTCACTATTGGAAATGACCCAGAGTTAATAAACGATTTCTTTGTGTTTATCAGCCTATGCTTAATAACAGTTTATGAAGTATTGTATATACAATATAAAAATGTATATTTAAACATATATAGAAATTCTTTTTATTATAAAATATTATCTGTAAGGTATTTATTTTATTTTAAAATTGAGAAATTATTCCTAATTTCTCTCTGTCATAGATAACTCGTAATTTAAGCATATTCAATAACACATTCTTTATACATAATTATAGAATATTTTTATTATTTTTTAATTTTAAATTAAAATTAAAATAAAAAAAATATTAATGAGCTGAATTTAATTGAACTAACAAAATTACTTAAATAGTTTATGTTAAATAATAAGGTATTACAATCATTTCTTTAACAATACATTCCGTGTAAATTTTTCTGTAATTATATAGTAGACCTATACTGTGTTACCATGCTAGATTGGAAAATGACGCGGTATTCAGACTATCCACAAAGGTTGTTTTCGAAATTATACATCTGAGAATTTTGCAATGCCGTAAAGTCACCAAATTGTAGTAATTCACTGAAGTTTTCAGAGGTATGCATATAGAGACTGCTATTAGTTTCTTTGTCTGTCCGTCGAATTAAATCTTCTAATCTATATTCTGTATAAAAAGTATTTAAAACTATATTGTAAAAAAAAAACAGTATTTTTTCTTTCTTGACACAATCCCACTTTCGCCACTGGACTAATGTTAAAACATTAAGGATTTTGAGTTTCGAGTTTTTTTAAGAGAGAATGTGCTTTCACTCTGTACATGGATCAAATAATAGCTTCTCGCATGTTTTTTTACAAATATATATAAGTAAATAAGATATATAATATAATCTTTTAGAAATAAGGTAATAAAGTAGTATATAAATTGTATTAATTTTTGAATAGTAAGAAAACGCATCAATTTCGAATGCGAAAGAATACGTGTTTGTGCGAAAAGAAAATCTTACTTACATACTTACTGTTGTCCTCCTTTCTTCATGGAGCATAGAGCTTCTACCATAGATCTATATCTAACTCTATTGCGTGCTTCGCGGCATTTTTCTTTCTAGTTTTAATTTACATTATGGAGTTCTCTATCTATACTTCTGCGCCGTGTTTGCGCTAGGCCTTCTAGAGCCGTAGGGGTTCCATCTAAGTGCTGTTCTTGCAATATGATTCCATTGTACCCATTTGCGTCCACCAATCATTTCTTATTCTTTCAGTCCATCTTATACCAAGTGCTTCTGCGTAAGCACTTGTTTATGGAGGACTGTATTTTTGATTAAATGCGGTTGGAATCTTTTTATGTTTCACTGCCATAGAAGAGCACAGATTTTATATTTAATTCGAAGATGTGGTGTTTTGTTTAACTGTGTGAATAAATTTATAAGTAGCAAGTAAAATTATGAACTTCATATAGAATAATTGTTTTAGTGTAACGACAACTTATTAAATTTAAAACAAATGAAGTGAACGCTCACAGTTAGCCAAAAAAAAAAACAAATGGCTAATGGACTTATGTCTTATGTCTTATGATAGACTTATGTATGATGGACTTGTTAAAATTTGCAAATATATACTTAGTGCATATAGAGTCCTATAATAACTTATAGACAATAATAAAACGTTCGTTTTCGTTCATTTTAAAAAACGATAAATTTAAAAAATATATTTTATATATAAATTATTGTAACATTTATAATATCTTAAATTTAAGAAACCACATTATACAAATAGTAGAACCCTTAAGTTATAAGCACTTTCAAATGCCCTTTGTAAATTTTATTGCACCACAATTGTAGCAATTTCTTATTGCAATCATATTAAATCTTAACAAATTTTTCTTTTTTTGCTAGGCGATAAAATTCTTACATTGTATTAAAAGTAAACTAATTTACTGCTTTCAGAGACACTACGCAGATGACGTTATTCAGTTGTTACCGAAGAAAGTTGATAATTGTGTAAAAAATAAAATGAGTTCGGAGTACGATAAATTGGCGCAGAAACAAATCAACATTTTGGTTCCGGAAAGAGACTTAAAAACGGATATAATTTTTATAAAGGAAAAAGATGTGGTATTGTGTACACACTGTATAAAAACTCTCTGTTCAGATAAAAATTTCTATTTACTAATACTCAGGAATCAGTTACATATACCACAATATCGAATAGTACCGCTCAGGAAAAGTGGGGTAAAGAAATAGAGTTCTTGTTTTCATGCATTGCGCTATCGGTGGGTTTGGGTAATGTATGGCGTTTTCCATTTATTGCACTTGAAAATGGTGGCGGAGCATTTGTTATACCATATATAATAGTCCTAATGTTGATTGGACGGCCAGTTTACTATTTAGAAGTTATACTTGGGCAGTTTTCAGGCAGAGGTTGCATAAAAGCATTTGATATGGTACCATTAATGAGAGGTATTAATATTATAGTAACATTAATATAATACTACATGTGAAAGAAATATTTGTAGGTGTTGCTTATGGACAAGTGTATTCAACTGCAGTGGCTACCACATATTACGCTTGTGTCATGGCCTTGACTTTAAAATACCTAATATCATCTTTTGATGACATTTTACCTTGGACTGTGTGTAAACCGGAGTGGGGTAATGCTTGTGTTGCTACTGCAAATATGACTTCTACTAATGGCACAACAGAAAAACATATATCATCTGCAGAATTATTTTTTACGTGAGTTTCTATGCTGCAAACTGCTTAAGATAAAACATATATATTTTTCTAATTTTATTGTTTATTTAAACAAAACAGTAAAACAGTACTACGCGAGAAAGATAATATTAGTGATGGTCTTGGTGAACTTAACTGGGATTTAGTAATATGTTTATTAATTGCTTGGATTTTAATTGGTATCATTCTAATTAAAGGTTTAAAGACTTAACAAATTGTAATAAAAAAATTTGGAATTAGTAATTATATTTGTATTTCAGGTATTCAAAGCTCTGGCAAAGCCTCATATTTTTTGGCTCTTTTTCCATATGCGGTTATGTTTATTTTATTATGGCGTGCTATTACGCTTCCGGGTGCAATGAATGGTATTATATATTTTTTGAAACCTCAATGGGAACAACTACTAAGTGCAAAAGTAGGTGGTTTGTAAATATTTATCAAATTTGGATTTATACCTTTAAATATACTTTAAAATTAATAGGTTTGGTATGCTGCAATAACTCAAATGTTCTTCTCATTGGCAATTTGCTTTGGAACCTTAATTATGTATGCTTCTTACAATGACTTTAGAAAAAATGTTCATAGGTATGTATTCGAATATCCAATTTAAAAAATTTAATATAAATCATTTTATCTTATTTTTTCTTTTTTTTGGATACATTTAACTAAATTGATATTGATTTGTTACAAAACAATTATTTTATTCCACATTAAATAAATAAGAACAGAAAGTTTTTAGGAACATCAGCTTATAATAGAAATAAAAATTTTGTAAATAAATTTAAAGTTAGAAAGGACAGGTATTTTAGACCAGAGAGATCTTCTTCTCCTTATCAAGTATCCAATAGGCACCGTTTTGTTATATTTTTCGAGATATCGGGACTTGAAGTTAATTTTTTATATTGGCTAAAAGTAATAAAAATTTTATAAGCCACCTGGTGTCAACTAGCAGATATTAATTTTTCAATTCTTGATGTAATATTCTTTACCTTTAAAGCCTGATATCTAAACTCAAGCTATATTGGACAAAATTGTAAAAAATATATCTTTACTATAATCCATTATAAAAAAGGCGTACCCGACAAATAGTAACCGTACCATAAAAACTGTTATAATTTTGTCCCCACTTCTTTTGCCATCTACAAAAAATAACTTTTTGATATCATTTTCAATACTTAAAATTTGAAACCTTCTGAATGCGGGGCAGTCTCATCGGTACTCCTTTCGTCAGTTTCCAACAAAAATGCAACAATATATAATTAATACTTAGCAAACACAAAGTCTTAATAAGTAGTCAAATTATATAATTTTGTATCTGAATCTAAAGGACCCAAACACTATAACCATATTGGCTTTAAGTGTAAATTTATAAGATATGAGATTATAATGTATTTATATACTTAAAATATTTCCTGTAATATAAACAACAATATTTAGCTATTCAAAATAATTTTAATTTTGTGTATATATATATTTCTCTAATATTATAATTAATTTTTAGGGATGTAATAATAATAACTTCAATCGATTCATTAACATCCATACTGGCTGGATGTATTATTTTTGGTATTCTTGGAAATTTGGCATATGAAACAAATTTGACTGATATAGCTAATGTTGTCAAAGGAGGAACAGGCTTAGCATTCATTTCTTATCCTGAAGCTATAGCGAAATTTAAATACTTACCAAAAGTGTTCGCAGTTCTTTTCTTCCAGATGTTGCTTGTGCTTGGTATAGGTAGTAATATTGGCATGACGTCTTGTGTGATAAAAGTAATAAAAGATCGTTTTGAACATTTGCCACATTGGCTGCTAGCAAGTATGCTCTCTACAATAGGATTTCTATGTGGATTGATTTATGTAACACCTGGTGGACAATTTATACTCAAAATCGTCGATTTTTTTGGTTGTTCTTTTATAGCGTTAGTTTTGGCTATAGCGGAACTTGTAGCAATAAGTTGGATTTATGGTATATCTTAAAACATATAAAAAACAAAATATAGTTTAATTTGTGTAATAAATTATGTTTCAGGTGTAAAACGCTTATGCCGTGATATAGAGTTTATGTGTAATATTAAAACTGGATTTTATTGGCGAATATGTTGGTCAATTATTACTCCTGGTCTAATGTTTATTGTTTTAATTTATACTCTTATCACATATGAGCAGTTGGAATACAAAGAAGTTAAATATCCTGAACATATATATAATATTGCTTGGCTTATATGGGCTATAGGTGTGGGGCAATTGCCATTATGGGCTATTTATGCTGTGTATCGGCAACCTGGTAGCACGTTTAGAGAGGTAATATTACCGAAAAATAATATATATATACGTATATTCATATTTAATAAGTTTTATTTATTTATTTATTAGAAATTCCAACAAGCTATAAAACCAACATGTACATGGGGTCCATCAGACCCAAAAGTATTTGAAGAATATATCTTACAAATGAAAGAGTTTCATATATGTGGAAAAAATATATTTGAAAAATTTTATGACAATATTTTCGGCTAATTGTTGATTACTTGCTTCTATTACTATAGACATGACGTACAAAATATTATATATTTTCATATAACATTGTGAAATTAGTTGTTAGTATATCATTAGTGTTACCAATAATGTTAAAAGTATTTTCAGTGTTATTTAAAATTTAGCAATTGTTTTTATAAAAAAGTTCCTTTATTAAATAAAAGTTGTTATAATATTATATTATATTGTTTATTATTTTTATCAATATATTTTTAGCCTTAATCTTAAAAAATCATTTGGAAATTTGGTAATTTGATTATTATTTTTATAATCTGTTTTGATTATTAAATTAAATTGCTCTATTAGAATCCCTAGAAGGTGAATAGTTTAAATAACGAGTATTTGATTTTAAGACCAGTTTAATTGGCTTCAACGAGCCTATATGATGATGCAGCTATTAGTATTAAAATTCATAGATTGATGGCTCTCGTAGTTGGTGATGAAATAAATAGTTCTTGTGAATTTCCGTCCTTACATCCATTCATTATGTCTTCTTAAGTAAATAAAAAAATTTACTAAATAAGAAAATATATATAAGCAAATAAATTTTAAAAATTTAGTATATTTATTATTTTATATATTATATTATTTTTTTTTTTTTTATCTATTTTTGTTCATCTGTTTTTTGTCACTAAAATATAAATTAGCATAATTCTAAAAAATTATTAAAATTAAAAATTAATTCTATAAATTAAAACACTCCAACCAGAAAACATTCACAGCAAAGTAACAAAACTCCAGAAAAATGTGCGAACATAAAAGTCAAGTACGGCTTTGGGTCAGTTGATTAAGGAGCGCTGACTCTGAGCTTCAAATTAGGCAGGGCACGAGTTTGATTTCTGGTACTTGCAGTCTCAAAAAAAATATTTATCAATAATTAAATACAAGAATTATTTCCAAGACCACTGATGATGGTTATTCGGCAATACTCGAAATAGTTGTATCGTCAGCCAAAAATTCAATTAATTAAAAATAATAAAAAATGAACTTTTGTTGTTGTAGTTCCCTACTGTTCGAAAAATCTCTTTATAAAAATATTGTGGTTAAAAAATTTAAATCGTAATAAAATCATTTTTTTTAAGAATTAAATTTAAAGGATGATATGATAATTAATATGTATGTACTATCCTATATTGGGGTGAAAATTTCGACCAAATAGGCTAGCTATGACTAATGCGGCCATAGGTACATCTTATATTATATCTATGTATGTAGATACAAACATTTACAATGGTAGATTAAAAATCATTCGAATCGTTTGTGCTTACATGTTGCACATGAAATATCATTAGCATCGAGTCATCAAATTCACCAGCTACATTCAATATAAAGAATGTTTTAAAAACTAATAGTATATAAATTCTACTTATAGAATAACAAAATTTTTTTAAATTCTATATTAATGAAAGGATAAGGAGTGGCAGTTTATAAAAAGTGTAGATAAATTGTGATTTTTATGTAAAGTGGTTACCTGTGACGTATGAGTAGCAATTACCTGTTGTAGTTTTATATATGTATAAATTTAATTGGTTAAGGAACGCTGACTCTGACCTTTAAATTTGGCAGGGTATGGGTTCGATTTCTGGTACTTGCAGTCTCAAAAAATTATTTACGAATAATTAAATACAAGAATAATTTCTAAGACCACTGATAATGAGTATTTGGCAATATTCGAAACAGCTGTATGGTTAGACAAAAATTAAATTAATTGAAATAATATAAAATGAATTTTTGTTGTTGTAGCTCACTACTGTTCAAAACACATCTGTATAAATTTAAGTTTAAATTTCGAATTCATGAAGAAAATTTTTTTTTATAAAATTATTAAATTATATTATATTATTTAATAAAACTACTTAACGTTTATGTATTTAATTAAATTTATTTAAAGTTATTGATGTTACTGCATTGTTTTGTAAAATATTTACAGTTGAGTTTAAAAGTAGCTTAAAAACTATTAATAGCGACTTTTTCACATAAGTTGTTGTTGTGTGTTATCACAGCAATTGTTGTTATTAATATTATTATAATCATAAATTTTAGTTAATTATTCTTATATTAATAATTTTATTATCGAGAGGCTAAGCTAATTTTATGCGCAAGTTACAGCTTTTATATAAGAGATACATTGCAGAAAGATGTTATATTACTAGAGCATCATTTAATTTTATTTTTATATATTTAATTATATGTATAATTGAAATTTGTATACAATATGATAAGAAATCTATTTTTAAATAAAAAAATTAGTTATATTAAAAAATTCTATTGATTAAAAACTATATTTTTGGATTTTAAACTTTCTCTCTATTATATTCTTTAATTATTTATATATATGTATATAAATAATGTTAAGAGACTAACAATTAATTAATTTAATTTTCACTATTTTTTATATTTTTAGTGAAAAAAGATTTTAATTTATTTGATTTTGTTTTAAAAAACAAAATGAGTGTATTTATAAGTAGTTTGTATTTCTAACATAAGCCTTCTGTCTTTCTGCTTTTAAAATTGAATGTACCCTAGGTATTAGGTAATCCTGGCAGACCAAAAAGGCCGTCCGTAGACCATTAAGGTCCATTGCGATACCAGATCAGAGTCTTATTTTAGCGATTGAATGTACCTCAAGTGTCACATAATTATCAGCTCTTTTAATTTATATACTATTTATGATCTGCCTAAATAATAAAAATTTGAATTTATTAAAAAAAAATATATTGTTTAAATATATTTAATTATATGATTTTGGTTTTAAATTTTCATTATTAATTAATTTATTCTATATTTAATTATTGTTTTAATATCGCAAGTCTTTTGTAAATGAATATTTTTGAATTATGCGTAAAAACTTTGCTGTTTAAAAGCGTTTTGAATTTAATATTTTAAATTATGACATATTATTTTAATAATTTTTATATTATTTAAAATATATGGATTATATTATCTTAGTAAGAGAACTTGGAGAATTTATAATTTATAATGTGTGAGAATTTATAATTTTTTGGTGGAGTTACTTACTATCGAGACTAAGCATTAATTAATTGATATGTATTTTGTGGAAGCTTATAGCAATTTTGAATAAGTCTATGAGAAATTTAAAAAATATAGCATTTCTACGTACTCAAATATTGTCGCAAAATTTTTTTTCGAAGTTTTTATTAATCATTTTATTAATATATATGTATATGTTACAACGTTTATGTCTTTATTGTTCCTATAAGGAGCATAGTTTTTCTAATATTCTTCAGTATAGTCGATAGCCGTTATATTATTTAGAATTATTCAGTTAAAATTTTATTCTTAACTATAATATCTCTAGTTATGTGGTCCTACAAATGTGAATTTTCTGCCAGTACCACTTTAATTCACCAACTACAGTAGCGACTTACTTATGCTAACTCAACAACACATTTAATTTAGGTTTAAGTAATTTTCGTTAAAATTAAAAAGTAATAGTATTTTTATTTTTAAATAATACAGAAATATTGTTGGCAGTTATTGTCTGTATTATAAAGACGCCACTGTGTCGTTTAAAATGGTTTGGTATGAATATATTCAGTTTTCTTAATATCTATTTAAAGCATTAATTAGTTTACAAGTTAACCGATCAGCACTGTCTCACAATAAGATATTAAAAGAATTAATTAAAAAATTTTTAAACATATCATGTATTATTCTGCATATTCGGCGTATGTATTCGATATCACACAGTCCAAAGGATTAAATTGACAATTATTTGAATATTTGCATTTTGACATAAAAACTTAAATTTAAGTTAATTTTTAAATTTTTTGTACATGAAATTTGTTCTATATTTTTTACTTTAGAATATTTAAAGTATTTTCTAATGCGGAAATAAACACATTTCAGTTCACATCATCCTTGCAAATAATTTGTTTTCTTTTACATCATTTATGTTCAGTACTAAAATGCTTGGATTGGTCTATAAAGTCCTGTATAGCCACATAGGCGAGCTCGCAATGCTGGAATCAAAACAGCAGCTGATGTGATGTCCTTTAGTAATTCAGCGCATTCACATACCAAAAGATACATTTTATCGCCCTTTTGTGCTGTGCTCTTATGCAGCGCTATTCGACGTAGTCCTGCAGTTCGCGGCAAATATCTGTAATAAAAATAAAAATAAAAATGTACAAAGTATTCATAAGAAAATAAATTTTCTGAAAATAAGCAAAAAATATTATTAAATTTGCAATTTTAATGCTAAACAAAATGCATATACATATTTTGTACATTTTTTTTAATACCATTTTAACTATAAAAAATTTAGTTCTCCAGAAGAAAATGACTAGTTTTGTTCATCTTATTTCCATTCGTTATAGTACTTTACTGTTTTTAATAACATTTTATTGCTTAACTTGAGGCTCACCTGTAAAGCGTACGTGCGCCAGTCCAGTACAGCCAATTCTTTTCGAAACGTTCACCATCATCGCCCTCAAAAACCTGCATACAAATAAATAAACAGACACATTGAAAGATAAAAATAAAAAATGGATTGAATTTACATTTTTTATGAGCTTTAGACTGCACACAAAGCAATGTTTTTATATTTTTATCTGAATACAGTCGTTCACATAAACTTCCTGACATACGAGTATGAGTACGAGTATATTGAATTTAAGCAATTATATATGCTAAAGATATGGTTGTACATATGGTTGTATGGATGTGGGGAAAGGGTATATTGAGGTGTTTACAAAGAATTGAAAAAATGTCTATAAATTAAAACAAATGATACCTTGAACACACTGATGATGTAGCCAGTGGCTGGAGTTTGTGTTTTCTTAAAACTACCGCTTTCATTTGACACCAACACCAATGGAGGACGACAAATGGCAGCAACTTCACTATATAAGTCCAATGTATGAGCGGCAGTGTATCTGAAATTTATATGAAATATGCATTTTTTTTACAATTACCAAATCGAGTTGTTTATATAATTAAAAATTGGGGGATATTAAATGGAAATATTATTGTCAATAAATTAAAGATAAGGTGT